CAGACGGACAAACGGACGGACAGGGCTAAATCGTCTTAGAATTTTACGCTGATCAAGAATATATATACTTTGTTGGGTCTAAAATGATTATTTCGATGAGTTACAAACGGAATGACAAAGTTAATATACCCTCCATACCTTTTTTGGTGGAGGGTATAAAAATATCCTAAAAAGGCAACGACAACATTTTGCATTCTAGAAAAAAATATCTATAAGAACTTTTTCTACCGAATAACAAAATTTTTCCAAAAAATATCATCAATAACAGTTTTTCTCATATATAAAAAGCCCTCGATAATAACTTTTTCTATGGAAACTATAATCGATAACAAGTTTTTCTACCAAAAAACTCATCGATAACAAATCTTCACAAAAAAATCCATCGATTATAACTTCTTCTCATCCAAGTAGCCGTCTCTGGCAAAAAAAATCGATCAACATTTATAATAAAAAAAAAAATCACCGAAAGAAGTGTTTTTAATGGAAAAAGTCATCGATAACATTTTTTAAAAATTTTTAATTTTTTTTAAAGAAAAAATTATCGATAACAACTTTTTCTACCAATACATCATCGAAAACAAATTTTTCCAACTAAAACGTCATCAATAACAGTTTTTCTCATATATAAAAATCCCTCGATAATAACTTTTTCTATGGAAACTATCATCGATAACAAGTTTTTCTATCATCATCGAAAACAAATCTTCACAAAAAAAAAATCCATCGATTATAACTTCTTCTCATCCGAGTAGCCGTCTCTGGCAAAAAATCGACCAACATTTATAATTAAAAAAAAAAATCACCGATAGCAGTGTTTTTAATGGAAAAAGTCGTCGATAACATTTTGTAAACATTTTTAATTTTTTTTAAAGAAAAAAATATCGATAACAACTTTTTCCACCGAATACATCATCGATAACAAATTTTTCCAACAAAAATGTCATCAATAACAGTTTTTCTCATATATAAAAAACCCTCGATAATAACTTTTTCTATGGAAACTATTATCGATAACAAGTTTTTCTATCAAAAAACTCATCGATAACAAATCTTCACAAAAAAAATATCTATCGATTATAACATTTTATCATCGGAGTAGCCATCTCTGGCAAAAAATCGATCAACATTTATAATTTAAAAAAAAATCACCGATAACAGTGTTTTTAATGGAAAAAGTCATCGATAACATTTTTTAAACATTTTTAATTTTTTTTTTTTAAAGAAAAAAAATATCGATAACTATTTTTCTATAGAATATATCATCGATAACAACAATTTCCCAACAAAAATGTCTTCGATAACCACTTTTCCAATTTGAAAAGCCTTCGCTAACAGCCTTTTCAATCGAAAATATTATCGATAACAAGTTATTCTAACAAAAAAGTCGTCGATAACAAGTCTTTACAAAAAAATATCTATCGATTATAACATTTTCTCATCAGAGTGCCGTCTCTGGAAAAACCATCGACAAAAATTTGCAATTAAAAAAAATCACCGATAGCAGTGATTTTAATAAAAAAAAGTTATTGATACCTATTTTTAAGAAAAACTTACGATTAAAACTTTTTTTATCAAATATGTCATCGATAACTATTTTTCCCAACAAAAATGTTATCGATAATAACTCTTCCTGGGTAAAAAGTCTTCGATAACAATTTTCTCTATCAAAAATTTAGACGATAAAAACGCTTTAAAAAACATCGATTAGAACTTCTTCTGATCAGAGTAGCCGACGATAACAATATTTCCTGTCAAAGGACACACTGTTAAAAACTATTTCGAAAGAAAATGTTATCGATAACACATCTTTTCTATAGGAAAACTCAATGTTAACTAATTATTCTTTGTAAAAAAATTACCGATTACAAATTTTTCTACAAAAAAAATTAAACGATGACACAGTTATTTATGGAAAATTCGATAACATAGTATCCTACCGAATAACCAACCGACAACTACTTTCGCTTTAAAAATGAATATTAAAAAAGTTTTCGATACCAGCTTTTTTGTATCGAAAATATCATCGATAATAAATTTTTACCAAACTTTTTCCACAAAAAAAGTAATCGATAACAACTTCTTCTATAGAAAAGGTAATCGATAACAAATTTTTCTATGAAAAAAAAATTTTTCTACAAAAAAAGTAATCGATAACAACGTTTTCTATAGAAATTTTTCTATGAAAAAAAATAATCGATAACAAATTTTTCTATGGAAAATGGAGTCGATAAAACTGTTTTTTATAGAAAAAGTAATCGATAACAACTTTTTCTATAAAAAAATAATCGATAAACGTTTTTTGTACGTTTTTTGTAGCAACTATGAAAAAAAATAGATAACAAATTTTTCTATGAAACATTTATTGATTAAAAAAATTTCAATAAAAAACTAATCGATAACAACTTTTTCTATGGAAAAATTAATCAATAACAACCTTCTCTAGGAAAAGTGGAATCGATAATTTTTCTATAAAAAAAGTAATCTATAGCAACTTAATGACGATCGATGAGATATTTTTCTACGAAAATCACAATCGATGACAACTTTTTGTAGAGAAAATATAATCGATAACATTTTTTTTTCTATAAAAAGAATTAATCGATAACAGCTTTTTCTATAGAAAATGTAATCGATAAGAATTGTTTTTTTTAATTGTAATCGATAACAACTTTTTCTATGGAAAAAGTGTTTGATCAAAACTTTTTCTATGGGAAAAGAAATCGACGTTTTCTATATAAAAAATTATCGACAACAACGTTTACTATAGAAAAAGTAATCGATAACAACATTTTCTATGGAAAAAGTAATCGATAACCACTTTTTCTATAGAAAAAGTAATCGATAACAACTTTTTCTATGGAAAAAGTAATCGATAACAATGTTTACTATAGAAAAAGTAATCGATAACAACGTTTTCTATATAAAAAGTAATCGATAACAACGTTTTCTATATAAAAATTATCGATAACAACGTTTACTATAGAAAATGTAATCGATAACAACGTTTTCTATATAAAAAATTATCGATAACAACGTTTACTATAGAAAAAGTAATGGATAACAACATTTTCTATAGAAAAAGTAATCGATAACAACGTTTTCTATAGAAAAAGTAATCGATAACAACATTTTCTATAGAAAAAGTAATCCATTACATTATTTGTTCGATAACAACATTTTCCATAGAAAATTTGTTCGATAACAACATTTACTATAGAAAAAGTAATCGATAACAACGTTTTCTATATAAAAGTAATCGATAACAACGTTTTCTATATAAAAAATTATCGATAACAACGTTTACTATAGAAAAAGTAATCGATAACAATGTTTACTATAGAAAAAGTAATCGATAACAACGTTTTCTATATAAAAAGTAATCGATAACAACGTTTTCTATATAAAAAGTAATCGATAACAACGTTTTCTACAGAAAAATTAATCGATAACAACGTTTTCTATAGAAAAAGTAATCGATAACAACGTTTTCTATATAAAAAGTAATCGATAACAACGTTTTCTATATAAAAAGTAATCGATAACAACGTTTTCTATAGAAAAAGTAATCGATAACAACTTTTTCTATAGAAAAATTAATCGATAATAACTTTTTTTATCAAAAAAATTAGTCGATAACAATTTTTTTCATGAAAAAAAAACTGTTGATAACAATTTTTTCTATGAAAACATAAATCGATAACAACTTTTTCTATATAAAATGAAATCGATAATAGCATTTTTCATAAAAAAATCACAACGCCGTTTTTTATGAAAATGTCAGCGATTACAACCTTGTAGAAAAAGTCATCAAAATAATTAATTATTTATTTATTATTTAATTTATCGATAATTGGAATTCCTATAGAAAAAAATTATCGATATCACATTACCGATTTTCTATAAAAAACTCATGGAGAATATTTTGTTCTACAAAAGAAATAACAGATATTATTACTATTTTTTTTTTTTTTTTTTTTTTTTTTTTTTTTTTGGAAAAAGTCATTGATATATCACTTTGTGTAGAATATGTTATCGATAACAATTATTTTATCGATAATAACGTTTTCTATTAAAAAATTCGTTGATTATTATTTTTTCTTTATATAAATCATTCAAAATCATCTCTTCCCATAGAAATAGTCATCGATAACATGTTGTGGCAATGTATCACCCGAACCCTGTGGCGTATACACACCCCCCAAACACCATACGCCCTGAGGTTTCTCTTTGTAACTTTTTGTTATCTTTGATTTTGGTTTAGGGAAAAAAATAAGTAAATCTCTATTCTCCTCTTTTCCACAAGCTACCTCAAACTAATTAATAATACATCAAACAAATGCTCTTTGAGAATACGAAATGATGCTTTCAGTCCTGGCAACATTCACAAATTAATGGCAAATTAAAGTGTCTTAACTTGGCTTAACTCCGATAACACAATAACACAAAAGCACAACGCAAGCAACATCAGTAGCAAAACTTAAGAAGAGAAAACTAAAACTTTTTAAACAATTTACGTTTCCCCTCCCCTGTCCTCCTTTTCAAGAAATCCTTTTCACAGCCAACATCTGATCAAAAGCAACAAATTATAAACTCAATCACGAAGCCAAGCAGCTGTTAGATAGCCTCCCTCCACAAAGTGTTTTCCTGAAATTTAACCTTCTTAAAGAGCCCCCACCACATCCCTCAAAGCCTCTTCCCCCAAAAAGAGGTCAAACACTTGCCACTTTCAGTCATTGGCGAAAAAAAAGTTGTAGGCTTTTATTTTGTTATTAAGTTCGCTAGAAGTGTCCTTATGTCTGGTATTTCCTGGCCATTTCAGCTTTCTCTTCTTTCCATCGTCGCCGTTTTTCTCCTCTTCAAAAGTGTCATTAAGTTTTATTAAGCGGCTGGAATCATTATTTTCCTCCGCTGCCTTTTTGTTTCGCAGTTTTCTTATTTTAAGCTTTTAGCCGGTTAATATTTGGTCTGATTTTTTTCTTCTTTTTCTCTTCCCATTACAGCGGAGGACATTCATTTGGATGACCTGTACACACGCTATCGCCAACGATTGCGTAAGTCATTATTTCGCTCCGGTCTATGGATATCGCTGGTGGCATGTGTGGTGTCCATTATAATTGGTGTGATATACCAACAGGTGAGTAGTTGAAAGTAATTTCAATTATTGTTCCGAAAAAATGGGGGAGGGTAAGAAGAGGTGGGTAATTTTTTTATTTCAGAAAATGTGATCGATAACATATTTTCCAAAAGAAAAAGTTAACGATAACACATTTTTCTATAGAAAAACCTGATCGATAACAATTTCATCTGACAAAAATATTATCGATTACAAATATTTTTATAAAAAAATGTCACCGATAACAATTTAATAACATTTTCTATAGAAAAGTTGTTCGATAACAACATTTTCTATGAAAAAGTTGTTCGATAACAACATTTTCCATAGAAAACTTATTCGATAACAACATTTTCCATAGAAAAGTTGTTCGATAACAACATTTTCCACAAAAAAGTTAATCGATAACAACATTTTCAATGAAAAATACATGTTTTCTATAGAAAAGTTGTTCGATAACAACATTTTCTATAGAAAAGTTGTTCGATTACAACATTTTCTATAGAAAAGTTGTTCGATTACAACATTTTCTATAGAAAAGTTGTTCGATAACAACATTTTCCATAGAAAAGTTGTTCGATAACAACATTTTCTATAGAAAAGTTGTTCGATAACAACATTTTCTATAGAAAAGTTGTTCGATAACAACATTTTCTATAGAAAAGTTGTTCGATAAAAACATTTTCCATAGAAAAGTTGTTCGATAACAACATTTTCCATATAAAAATTTTTCGATAACAACATTTTCCAAAGAAAAGTTGTTCGATAACAATATTTTCCATAGAAAAGTTGTTCGATAACAACATTTTCCTTAAAAAAAATTTCGATACCAACATTTTCCATAGAAAATTTGTTCGATAACAAAATTTTCTTTGAAAAGTTGTTCGATAACAATATTTTCTATAGAAAAGTTTTCCGATAACAACATTTTCTATAGAAAAGTTGTTCGATAACAACATTTTCCATAGAAAAGTTATTCGATAACAGCATTTTCTATAGAAAAGTTGTTCGATAACAACATTTTCCATAGAAAATTTATTCGATAACAATATTTTCTAAAGAAATGTTGTTCGATAACAATATTTTCTAAAGAAATGTTGTTCGATAACAACATTTTCTATAGAAAAGTTGTTCGATAACAACATTTTCCATAGAAAAGTTGTTCGATAACAACATTTTCCAAAGAAAAGTTGTTCGATAACAACATTTTCCATAGAAAAATTGTTCGATAACAACATTTTCTATAGAAAAGTTGTTCGATAACCACATTTTCAAGAGAAAAGTTGTTCGATAACAACATTTTCTATAGAAAAGTTGTTTGATAATAACATTTTCTGTAAAAAAATTGTTCGATAACAACATTTTCTATAGAAAAGTTGTTTGATAACAACATTTTCTATAGAAAAGTTTTCCGATAACAACATTTTCTATAGAAAAGTTGTTCGATAACAACATTTTCCATAGAAAAGTTATTCGATAACAGCATTTTCTATAGAAAAGTTGTTCGATAACAACATTTTCCATAGAAAATTTATTCGATAACAATATTTTCTAAAGAAATGTTGTTCGATAACAATATTTTCTAAAGAAATGTTGTTCGATAACAACATTTTCTATAGAAAAGTTGTTCGATAACAACATTTTCCATAGAAAAGTTGTTCGATAACAACATTTTCCAAAGAAAAGTTGTTCGATAACAACATTTTCAATAGAAAAATTGTTCGATAACAACATTTTCTATAGAAAAGTTGTTCGATAACAACATTTTCCATAGAAAATTTATTCGATAACAATATTTTCTAAAGAAATGTTGTTCGATAACAATATTTTCTAAAGAAATGTTGTTCGATAACAACATTTTCTATAGAAAAGTTGTTCGATAACAACATTTTCCATAGAAAAGTTGTTCGATAACAACATTTTCCAAAGAAAAGTTGTTCGATAACAACATTTTCCATAGAAAAATTGTTCGATAACAACATTTTCTATAGAAAAGTTGTTCGATAACCACATTTTCAAGAGAAAAGTTGTTCGATAACAACATTTTCCATAGAAAAATTGTTCGATAACAACATTTTCTATAGAAAAGTTGTTCGATAACAACATTTTCCATAGAAAATTCATTCGATAACAATATTTTCTAAAGAAATGTTGTTCGATAACAATATTTTCTAAAGAAATGTTGTTCGATAACAACATTTTCTATAGAAAAGTTGTTCGATAACAACATTTTCCATAGAAAAGTTGTTCGATAACAACATTTTCCAAAGAAAAGTTGTTCGATAACAACATTTTCCATAGAAAAATTGTTCGATAACAACATTTTCTATAGAAAAGTTGTTCGATAACCACATTTTCAAGAGAAAAGTTGTTCGATAACAACATTTTCTATAGAAAAGTTGTTTGATAATAAATTTTTCTGTAAAAAAATTGTTCGATAACAACATTTTCTATAGAAAAGTTGTTTGATAACAACATTTTCTATAGAAAAGTTTTCCGATAACAACATTTTCTATAGAAAAGTTGTTCGATAACAACATTTTCCATAGAAAAGTTATTCGATAACAGCATTTTCTATAGAAAAGTTGTTCGATAACAACATTTTCCATAGAAAATTTATTCGATAACAATATTTTCTAAAGAAATGTTGTTCGATAACAATATTTTCTAAAGAAATGTTGTTCGATAACAACATTTTCTATAGAAAAGTTGTTCGATAACAACATTTTCCATAGAAAAGTTGTTCGATAACAACATTTTCCAAAGAAAAGTTGTTCGATAACAACATTTTCCATAGAAAAATTGTTCGATAACAACATTTTCTATAGAAAAGTTGTTCGATAACCACATTTTCAAGAGAAAAGTTGTTCGATAACAACATTTTCTATAGAAAAGTTGTTTGATAATAACATTTTCTGTAAAAAAATTGTTCGATAACAACATTTTCTATAGAAAAGTTGTTCGATAACAACATTTTCCATAGAAAAGTTGTTCGATAACAACATTTTCTATAGAAAAATATCAATAACAGCTTTTGCTACAGAAAAATTATCGATAACAACTTTTTCCACAGAAATCTTTTCTATGTAATTGACAATCGATAACACCTTTTCAATTAAAAAAACCTCATCGATAACATGTTTTTCTATAGAATTCAATAATTATTTTTTTCCCACCCCTTTCATACCTCCCTCATTTATTTGTTTTAATTCCTTTTAATCAATTCCTCTTCTCTCTTTTTTTTGAAAAATTACAGCAATTATTGCACACCCTGTTATTGGCATCGGCCGCCCTGATATCGGCCAGCATATTGACCGCCCTGCAATTCCCAGTCGTGCTAAGTTCACCATCGGCCGCATTGGCTTTTGCCATTGTGACCACATTTTCGCTGGGAACGATAGCGGCAATTACAGGTGAAGAATTGGCGCCATTACCCTTGTTCGCCGTATTCCTGGTAAGTTGAATGTGTCCTGAAGTTAAAGATGTTGTTGTGAAGGTGTTTGTATAGCTTGTTTGCTTGCGACGGTTGTTGGTCGGAAATGGATGTTTGTCCATTATTGGTAAATGCTTCGATACTTCATGCAAATTGGCGGAAGTAATTGTTCCAGTAGGCAAATATTTGTTGTTGGTTTTTTGAAATTGCCTTCAATTGTTGTAATTGGATGTGGAATTATCGATGAGGTAATGAGGGGGAGGGGGATTGGGTTGCTAATCGGTGCTTATGAAAAATAGTAGCCAAAGAAAAAATTATCGATAATATTTTTTCTATCAAAAAAGTCATCGATAATGACAATAAATTTTTTCGAAAAAAAATCTTCAATAACAAAATTTTCAAAAAAAAAAATATAATAATCGATAACAATCTTTTTAACAACCAACATTTTTTTAGTCATCTATATTAACTAGAAAAAGTTATCGATAATATTTATTTCCATTAAATAGTCATCGATAATAAGTAGAAAAAGTTATCGATAATATTTTTTCCATAAAAATAGTTATCGATAATAACTAGAAAAAGTTATCGATAATTTTTTTTCCATAAAAATAGTTATCGATAATAACTAGAAAAAGTTATCGATAATTTTTTTTCATAAAAACAGTTATCGGAAATGACGATAGTAACCAGAAAAAGTTATCGATAATTTTTTTTCCATAAAAATAATCATTGATAATGACGATAATAACTAGAAAAAGTTATCGATACTATTTTTTTTTCATAAAAAAAAATTATCGACAATAATTTTCGATAACAAAATTTTTAAAAAAAAAATAGTATTCGATAACAATCTTTTTAACAACCAACATTTTTTTTTTGTCATCGATAATAACTTGAATAAGTTATCGATAATTTTTTTTTCCATCAAAATAGTCATCGATAATACCGATAATAACTAGAAAAAGTTATCGATAATATTTTTCCATAAAAATAGTCATCGATAATAACTAGAAAAAGTTATCGATATTTTTTTTCCATAAAAATAATCATCGATAATGACGATAATAACCAAAAAATGTTATCGATACTATTTTTTCATAAAAAAATTATCGACAATAATTTTTTTTAGAAAAAAAATTTTCGATAGCAAAATTTTCAAAAAAAAAAAGTAGTAATTGATAACAATCTTTTTAACAACCAACATTCATTTAGTCATCGACAATAACTAGAATAAGTTATCGATAACATTTTTTCCATAAAAATAGTCATCGATAATAACGATAATAACAAGAAAAATTATCGATAATATTTTTTCTATCAAAAAGTCATCGATAATTGTTATCGAACACAGAAATGGTTTCGATTTTGTTTAGTAAAATCTTCGATAACAAATATTTCTTAAAAAAAAATAGTCATCGATAACTTGCTTTTCTACACAGAAATTGTTCGATAACAATCTTTTCTATAAACTTTTTTCGATATTTTTTCCACAAAAATTCTAATCGATAACATTTTGTTTAAAAAAATCTTCGATAATAAAATTTTCTTAAAAGAATAGTCATCGATAACTTGCTTTTCTACACAGAAATTGTTCGATAACAATCTTTTCTATAAACTTTTTTTTCGATAAATCGATTATATCGATATTTTTTCCATTAAAAAAGTAATCGATAATAACTAGAAAAAAACTATCGATAATATTTTTTCCATAAAATAGTAATCGATAATAACTAGAAAAAGTTATCGATAATATTTTTCCATAAAAATAGTCATCGATAATATTTTTTCCATAAAAATAATCATCGATAATAACTAGAAAAAGTTATCGATAATATTTTTTTCCATTAAAGAGTCATCGATAATGATAATAACCAGAAAAATTATCGACAATAATTTAAAAAAAAATTTCGATAACAAAGTTTTCACAAAAAAATAACAACAAACATTTTTTTAGTCATCGATAATAACTTGAATAAGTTATCTATAATATTTTTTCCATAAAAATAGTCATCGATAATAACTAGAAAAAAATATAGATATTTTTTTCCATAAAATAGTCATCGATAATATTTTTTCCATAAAAGTAGTCAACGATAATATCTAGAAAAAGTTATCGATAATATTTTTTCCATAAAAATAGTTATAAATAATGACGATAATAACCAGAAAAAATTATCGATACTATTTGTCTGATAAAAAATTACCGACAATAATTAAAAAAAAAAAAAAAAATTCGATAACAAAATTTAAAAAAAAATAGTAATCGATAACTTCGATTTCTACACAGAAATCGATAATAATAATTTTTTCCATAAAAATAGTCATCGATAATAACTAGAAAAAATTATCGATATTTTTTTCCATAAAATAGTCATCGATAATATTGTTTCCATAAAAAAAATCATCGATAATAACTAGAAAAAGTTATCGATAACATTTTTTTCCATAAAAATAGTCATCGATAATGACGATAATAACCAGAAAAACTTATCGATACTATTTTTCTCATAAAAAATTTTTTTAAAAAACAAAAATGCGATAACAAAATTAAAAAAAATAGTAATCGATAACTTGCTTTTCTACACAGAAATTTTTTGATAACAATCTTTTTATCAACAAACATTTTTTTCGATTTTTTTTCGATAAATCGATTTTTTCGATAACTCGCATCAAAGCTCTTCTGACACCATTTCCCTCTTTTCCCCAGCCCTCTTTTGCAAAATTTCTCAAATCCATAGCCTCAAATAAAACGAATGCCCTCGCAACAACTCCCCAGGGTCTCATAATGCCAAGCAAACCCAAACACGCAACACATTACAACAACGACAACTGAAAAAAAACTGTCATAGAATTTCCATATTAATTATGTTTTCACTTTTCCATTTTTTTTTTCATCCTCCCCTCCAGGGTATTCACACAATGCTGCCCATATCGTGGCCGGTGTCTGTGGTCTTGGCCCTATTTATGACGGCCATACACGTTGTCTATCGTCTGTGCATTGCTCCGGACTATTCGCCTAATTTGCCTGTGGTAAGTAGCCAACACTGGAGCGCGCGAGTCTCCATCCATCCATCCTAACCGACCCCCCTACCCCAACCCCAGAAAAAAGGATGCCAATGAATAACAAAAAATTACAACAACTAGACTCGACAATGATTTTGAAAAAAAAAAATGAAAATTTTAATTGGACTCTTTGCCATAGACAAAAGAATGCTGAGAGGGGCAGGGTCATATGTAAGAGGGCGGATTATGGTTGCAACCACTGGGCCTGAGCTAATTTTGAAAATAGCTCACATAGTTAAAAATCTGTTTTATTTCGAAAGGGACAAAACACAGGGCAAGGACATTATTTGAAAACTGAATTTCAATTGAAATGCTGTCGTTCTACATCCAACCACTCTCTCATCCTTTTTTTTTTGAGGTTTCAAAAAAAAGGGTTTTTGTGTAAAAAGTCATTAAAAATCATAAATTTTTTATCAACCCCGAAATGGCATTGAAAATAGCTATGTTCTGATGTAGTTGTTGTTGTTATTGTTTTTTTGTTCATTCAAAGGACATAACGGTCCATGGAAAACAAACAAACATGTCACATAGTAATAGCAACATTCATACATGTCCTAAGTGGTTCCATGTCCTTGATGTTTTGCAGCTCATCTTTGATGAGTGCCGAATGCATGGCTGGCTGGCTGCCTGCCTGCCTGGCAATCGGACTGCCTGTAGCCAGTTTTCAAATTCACCTGGCATTTGTTGCACACTTAAGTGTTGCAACGATAACAACAACAGAATCAGCAACAACATGTCTAGTTTAAATTTATGTTCGTTTTTTTTTCCACACACACACACACACACTCTCGAATCAATATTGTGTGGGAATTTGTCGGTCAGAGTCATGGGCAGAGAATTCCATACATTTAAGTGATTGTAGGCAGTTAAATGCCCATTTCAAGTGAAATCGAGGTAAAGGCCAAGGTGCAGCAATCGAAATGAAATCCATGAATATCAATGTGAAGGAAAATGTGTAACCTTCCACGGAAAGGAAGTAAAAAAAAACAAGTGGAAGGAAAGGCTTCGATAAGACAGTTTTCTGGGGGAAAAATTCAAGGAAAAAAATTCAAGTCATTCATATGGACAAAAATTAACGAAAATCAACTTTTCCATTATTAAAGTTCAAGATAACAAGATTTCAAAGAAAAAACTTATCGATAACAATTTTTTCAATAAAAAAGAAACAAACCCATGAAAAACTATTTTTATCTTTAGAGAAAGATATCGAAAAAGTTTTTTTTTTAAACAAATGTTATCGATAACTTTTCTATGAGATTACTTTTTTCATAAGAAAACTTGTTACCAATAACATTCTATAAAGAAAAAATGATAGATAACACAGTTTTCTAAATTTAAATTCTATCATTTTTTTCTTTAGAAAACATTGTTATCGATAACACAAAAATTTCGATATCAAAAAATATCGATAACAAAAAATATCGATAACAAAAATATCGATAGCAAAAAATATCGATAACAAAATATATCGATAACAAAAATATCGTTAACAAAAATATCGATAACAATTTTTTTCAATAAAAAAGTAATCGATAACAAAGCTTTATTAAATAAATCGTCAAAAACTATTTTATCTTTACGGAAAGTTATCGAAAAACATTTTTTCCATAAGAAAAGCTATCGATAATAACTTTTTCTATAAGAAAAATTATCGACAACAATTTTTTTTAAATGAAATGTTATCGATAACAACATTTTCAAAGAAAACTTTATCGATAAAAGCATTTTCTAAAAAAAAATGTTATCGATTTCAACTTTTTCTACAGAAAAAGTGGTCGATAAAAAGGTAAGAGAGGTATAGAATAAGAGAGGTATAGAATATTTTTAAAGAAAAATTAATCGATAAATACTTTTTCTAAAGAAAATTATATCGATGATGTAAAAAAAAGTTATCGATAACAATATTTTCTAAGTACATGACAATTGATAAAAACTTTATTTAAAGTAAAAGTTTTCGATAACAATATTATAGATAAAAACTTTTTCAAATGAAAAACGTTAACCCGTATTCCTACAGCAGCACTAAAACAAGTGTATGCATTGGAAGCAATGTAGTTGTTGTGGACAAAAAATCCATCACTACAAAAACAAAACTTTGCTGTGAAAAAGATCTGCCAATAGAACATGAGTCGAACCTGGAGAGTTTCTAGTGTATAATTCGCATATGCTAATTTGCAATAAGTTCGAAATATATACTACTTTCCAGAGAACGGCCCTTGTAAGCCATCATCCACACCAAATATGCCTGATTAGCCGCTTTACCAACGGCGAAACGCGTCGCATAGTGGTGAGTGTGTGATAGTGTCTATCTGGCTTTCCTTTTCACTGCAAATTTCAGATCATTAAGCTCGTCTCGAAAGAGGAAACAAACACGAAAAACGTTATAGTTTTCCTAAAGAAAACGTCATCAATAATATTTTTTTCTTAAGAAAAATTTATCGATAAAAATAATATCGATAACAATTTCATAAATGAATAAGTAATAAATAACAAAGATTTATTAAAGAAATCATCAAAAACTATTTTTATCTTTACGAAAAGTTATCGATAGCAATATTTTTTGAAGGAAAAAATGATCGATATAACTATTTTCCACAACAAAATCTATCGATAAGAGCTATTTTTAAAGAAAAAGCTATCGATAGTCACTTTTTCTAAAGAAATAACAAAGTTTTGTGTATAAAAAGTTATAGATAAAAAATATTTTTACAGAAAAAGTTATCGATAACAATATTTTCTAAGTAAATGTCAATCGATAAAAAACTTTTTTTAAAGTAAAAGTTTTCGATATCAACTTGTTCTAAAAAACGTCATCGATAACGACTTTTTTAAAAAAAAGTTATCCATAGAAAGTATTTTCTAAAAAAATCGATAACAACTTTTCCAATAAAAAAGTAATCAATAACAATGATCTATTAAAGAAATCGTCAAAAACAATTTATAATTTTACCAAAAGTTATCGAAATCAATTTTCTTTAAAAAAATATAGAAATCAACTTTTTCTATAAGAAAACTTATTGGCTACAACATTTTCTAAATAGAAATATATTAATAACATCATATTCAAAAGAAAAAGTTGTCGATAACATTATTTTCTACTGAAAAAAATTATCGATAAAAATATTTTCTAAAAGAAAATCTGTCGATAAAAACCATTTCTTAGGCAAAAGTTTTCGATAGACACTTTTTCTAAAGAAAATGTTTTTGATAATAAAGGTTTGTATTAAAAAAATTATCGATAAAAAATATTTTTACAGAAAAATTTAACTATTTTTAAAGTAAAAGTTTTCGATAACATTATTTTCTAAACAAAAAATTATCGATAGCAACTTATTCTAAAGAAAAAATTATGGATAAAAAATATTTTCTAAAGAAGAAAATATGAATAACAATTTTTTCATTTAAAAAAGTAATCGATAACAAAGATTTATTAAATAAATCGTCAGCAAGTATTTTATCTTTATGGAAATTTATCGAAAAACATTTTTTCTATAAGGAAAGCTATCGAAAACAACTTTATCTATATAAAAAATTTTTGGCAACAACATTTTATAAATAAAAATTTATTGATAACAATATTTTCTAAAGAAAAAAATGATCGATAAATATATTTTCTATAAAAAAAATATCGATAAAAACTATTTAAAAAAAGTTATTGATGGACACTTTTTCTAAAGAAATTGTTATCGATAATAAGGATGTTTATAAAAAATTATCGATAAAAAACATTTTTACAGAAAAAGTTATCGATAACAATATTTTCTAAGTAAATGTCAATCGATAACACCTTGTTATAAAGTAAAAAACGTTATCGATAACTACTTTTTTCAAAGAAAAAGTTATCGATAGCAATATTTCCCAATGAAAAAAATATTTCAAAAGAAAAATTTATCGATAAAAAATATTTTCTAAAGAAAAAAATATCGCTAGCAATTTTTTTCACTAAAAAAGTAATCGATAATAAAGATTCATTAAATAAATGATCAACTACAATTTTATCTTTACCAAAAGTTATCGAAAATCAATTTTCTATAAAAAAAAATTATCGATAACAACTTTTTCTATAAGAGAATTTATTGGCAACAACATTTTCTGAATAAACAGCATTTTCAAAACATAAAATATCGAAAACAGTATTTTCTAAAGAAAAAATGATGGATACAAATATTTTATATAAGAAAAGTTATCGATAGCCTCTTTTTCTAAAGAATTTTGGTATCGATAGCAATGTTTTGTATAAAAAGTTATCGATAAAACTATTTAAAAAAAGTTTTCGGTAATAATTCTTCTTTTCTTTTACAACTTTATCTACAGAGTATTTTTTCTAAGAAAATCGAAATCGATAAAAAGTTTTTCTAAAGGAAGTGTAATCAATTACTACTTTTTTGCAGAAAAAGTTATCGATAACAGCATTTTCTAAAGAAATGTTTCTCTATAACAATATTTTCTATAATAAAAGTAATCGATAACAACTTTTTGTAAAAAAAGAGAGTTATCGATGATAATATTCTCGAAATATAAATAACAACATTATCTAAAAAAAGTTATCGATAATAATCTTTTCTAAAGAAATCGTCTTTTTCTACAAATTTTTTTTTTAAGAAAATGGAAATCTATTAGAAGTTTTTCTAAAGGAAATGTTATCGATAACAAACTTTTTCAAAAAAATATAATCGATTACCACCTTTTTTGCAAAAAAAAAAGTTATCGATAACAACATTTTCTAAAGAAATATTTCTCAAGAATATTTTCTATAATAAAAGTAATCGATAACAACTTTCTCTAAAGAATTAGCTATCGATAACAATATTCTCGAAATGTCAATAACAACATTCTCTAGAAAAAAAGTAATCGATAATATATTTTTTCTAAAGAAATCGATTACAAGTTTTCTTAAAGAAAAATTTGTAGATAACAAATTTTGCTACAGAAAAATGTATCGATAACAATGTTTTTAAGAAAATGGAAGTCAATAAAAACTTTTTCTAAAGAAAACATTATCGATAAAAACTTTTTCCAAAGAAAATGTAATCGAGTGCCACTTTTTTGCACAAAAAGTTATCGCTAACAACTGTTTCTTTAAAAAAATATATTTTTTGTAAAAAAAGTTATCGATAACAAGAATCAATGTAAATTATTATTTTTTTATAAAAAAACTCATCGCTAACGGGTTGACTGATTAAGTGTAGCCTTAAATTCAAATCCTATTTTCTCTACTCAACAATGACCAACAAATCCATTGCAATCTGACATTAAATGTTAAGCTCTTTTAATCTCTATTTCCCCGAAAAATAGCAGCTTAAATTGTTGTTATTTTTAAAACAAAACCCACTAAACGAAAAAAAATATTTCATTTTCATTAATTTTGTCGTTATTGTTTTTTTTTCCTTTGTTGCAGCTATTCGGCGAAATTGTAATGCTGGCCAGTGCATCCGTTTCCGGTCTCTACTATCGCATCATGTCCGATGCAGCCCACACACGTACCGTCGATGGCACGCGAACCGGCATCGAACAACGCGTCAAACTCGAATGCGAACGTGAACAACAGGAGCAGCTGCTGCTGAGCGTAATACCAGCTTATATTGCCGCAGAGGTTAGTCAAGTGCTTACATCTGTGGCAACAACAAAAAAAAACACAATAACAAATATTGTAGATAATTTTGTCCAACAATGTGGCAACAATTTAAAGAATTTATTTCGATTTATTTGTGCGGAATTTAATTTTAGGTTAAACGCAGCATTATGCTGAAAATGGCAGATGCCTGCCAAAGGGCGGGGGGTCAAAGCAACTCATCGGCCACTCGTTTCCATGAGCTACATGTCCAGCGTCACAACAATGTGTCCATTCTGTATGCGGATATTGTGAATTTTACACCGTTGTCGGAACAATTGACGGCCAGTGATTTGGTGAAGACTTTGAATGATTTGTTTGGGCGTTTCGATCAGATTGCTCAGGTGAGTGAGAGATAGAAAAAAATTTTAATAGAAAAGGATGTTATCGAACAAGTTTTCTATATTAAATGTTGTTATCGAACAATTTTTCAATAGAAAATGTTGTTATCGAAAACTATCGGATAACTTTTCTATAGAAAATGTTGTTATCGAACAACTTTTTTAATAGAAAATGTTGTTATCGAATAACTTTTCTATAGAAAATGTTGTTATCGAACAACTTTTCCATAGAAAATGTTGTTATCGAACAACTGTTCCATAGAAAATGTTGTTATCGAACAACTTTTCCATAGAAAATGTTGTTATCGAACAACTTTTCTATAGAAAATGTTGTTATCGGACAACTTTTCTATAGAAAATGTTGTTATCGAACGACTTTTCTATAGAAAATGTTGTTATCGAACAACGTTTCTATAGAAAATGTTGTTATCGAACAACGTTTCTATAGAAAATGTTGTTCTCGAACAACGTTTCTATAGAAAATGTTGTTATCGATCAACTTTTCTATAGATAATGTTGTTATCGAACAACTTTTCTATAGAAAATGCTGTTATCGAATAACTTTTCGATAGAAAATTTTGTTATCGAACCACTTTTCTATAGAAAATGTTGTTATCGAACAACTTTTCTGTAGAAAATGTTGTTATCGAACAACTTTTCTTTAGAAAATGTTGTTATCGAACAACTTTTCTATAGAAAATGTTGTTATCGAACAACCTTTCATTAGAAAATGCTGTTATCGAAAAATTTTTCTATAGAAAATGTTGTTATCGAGCAACTTTTCTATAGAAAATGTTGTTATCGAACAACTCTTCTATAGAAAATGTTGTTATCGAACAATTTTTCTATAGAAAATGTTGTTATCGAACAACTTTTCTATAGAAAATATTGTTATCGAACAACTTTTCTATAGAAAATATTGTTATCGAACAACCTTTCATTAGAAAATGCTGTTATCGAATAAGTTTTCTTTAGAAAATGTTGTTATCGAACAACTTTTCTGTAGAAAATGTTGTTATCGAAATAGTTTTCTATAGAAAATGTTGTTATCGGACAACTTTTCTGTAGAAAATGTTGTTATCGAACAACTTTTCTATAGAAAATGTTGTTATCGAACAACTTTTCTATAGAAAATGTTGTTATCGAACAACTTTTCTATAGAAAATGTTGTTATCGAACAATTTCTCTATAGAAAATACTGTTATCGAACAACTATTCTCTAGAAAACGTTGATATCGAATAACATTTCTATAGAAAATGTTGTTATCGAACAACTTTTCTACACAAAATGTTGTTATCGAACAACTTTTCTATAGAAAATGTTGTTATCGAACAACTTTTCTATAGAAAATGTTGTTATCGAACAACTTTTCTACAGAAAATGTTGTTATCAAATAACTTTTTTATAGGAAATGTTATTATCTAACAACTTTTCTGTAGAAAATGTTGTTATCGAACAACTTTTCTATAGAAAATGTTGTTATCGAAAAACTTTTCTATAGAAAATGTTGTTATCGAACAACTTTTCCATAGAAAACCTTGTTATCGAACAACTTTTCTATAGAAAATGTTGTTATCGAACAACTTTTCTATAGAAAATGTTGTTATCGAACAACTTTTCTATAGAAAATGTTGTTATCGAACAACTTTTCTATAGAAAATGTTGTTATCGAACAAATTTTCTGTAGAAAAAGTTGTTATCGAATAACTTTTTTATAGAAACTGTTGTTATCGATCAAGTTTTCTTTAGAAAATGTTGTTATCGAACAACTTTTCTCTAGGAAATGTTGATATCGAAGAACTTTTCTATAGAAAATGTTGTTATCGAAAAACTTTTCTATAGAAAATGTTGTTATCGAATAACGTTTCTTAAGAAAATGTTGTTATCGAACAACTTTTCTATAGAAAATGTTGTTATCGAACAACTTTTCTTAAGAAAATGTTGTTATCGAACAACTTTTCTTAAGAAAATGTTGTTATCGAACAACTTTTCTTTACAATATTTTGTTATCGAACAACTTTTCTATAGAAAATCTTGTTATCGAACAACTTTTCTATAGAAAATTTTGTAATCGGACAACTTTTTATCGAACAACTTTTCTATAGAAAATTTTGATATCGATCAAATTTTCTGTAGAAAATGTTGTTATCGACCAACTTTTCTATAGAAAATGTTGTTATCGAACAACTTTTCGTTAGAATATTTTGTTATCGAACAACTAGTCTATAGAAAATGTTGTTATCGAACAACTTATCCTTACTTTTCGAACAAGTTTCCAATAAAAGACATGTTATCGGCCACATTTTCCATAACAAACTTAGTTATCGAATTGTTTTCTGCACTATAATATAAATTTCTTGCATTTTACAGGAAAATCACTGTCTTCGCATCAAAATCTTGGGCGATTGTTACTACTGCGTCTCTGGCCTGCCCATCTCCAGGCCACAACATGCATCCAATTGTGTCAATATGGGTCTGCAGATGATTGATGCCATCAGGTATGTAGTGATGAACGAAATCAAACACCTTCTCCATAACAGCCTACACACACACACACACATACACCCACTCACACACATGTATGTCCAACCAAATTCCCACACCTTAGTAAACATTTGCAGAGTACAATATTTATGTAGATGACATCGGCGATGTACTTTGTAAATGTAAACAAATTGTTATTGGATTCTAATATAAACAAATCAACACACACACATACACCCTCGCACCCACACACACACCCTCTCCTTGCTTCCTTCCGACCAAATAGGCAGACATAATAAAATCAACACACATGGCAACTGTGGTTGTGACAAACCTGCCAACACTAACACCGACAGTCGAACAGGCAATGGAAAGAGGACTCACCAACGACATTGATTAAAGTCATGAACAACATAAAAAACAACAAAAACACCAACACCAACATTATCAGGACATGACAAACACTTGTTGTTTTTAATATTTACCAGGTGTTAGACAACAAAACACGACAAGAATCTATGGCCAGGGCAAACAAAAAAAACATCAAATCCCAGGCATGATGAGACGAAGTACGGGGGTTGGGGGAGAGGAAACATTCATGACACCCAAAGGATATACAAAAGTCTTTCGGTAATCTTTGGAAAATTTATTTGAATTTTAACAAATTGCCAAGGCCTCCACAGGGCAATGAGGTATAAATATTCAAACAAATTTGATTTAATCTTGGTATCGAAAAAGAAAAAATGTTGAAAAGTTAAAATCGTTTGTTCGGTTTAATCAATATTCTGATTTCAAATAAGGATTTATTGAACTGGAAATTGTCCAGTTTATGGGAGGAAGAGGGGTGGGTCAATGATTTTGGTGTTAAGTAATTGTTTTGTTTTGATGAACCTTTTTCGCAGAAGGAGGTCGGCATGGTGGATATTTGGACAAAATCAAATAAGTTTTGGCTTTGATATAGCTAAGGGAAAGGTGACAAAAGTTTTAAAAAGGGTTGATTAAGGATTGTCCGAAAATGGAACGGGAGGAGAAGGGGAAGGTTGTTAATGGACATAGAAACAAAAATTATCGAAATACTTTTCCACAGAAATCGGACACTTTTTCGGTAGAAAATATTGTTATCGAATACCTTTTTTACAGAATATTTTGCTATCGAAAAACATTTCTATGGAAAACGTCGTTATCGAGTTACTAAAAGTTGTTATCGAACAACTTTTCTACAAAAAATGTTGTTATTGAACCATTTTTCCATGGAAAATTTTGTTATCGAATAAATTTCCTATAGAAAATGTTGTTATCGAGAAACTTTTCTATGGAAAATGTAATTATCGAACAACTTTTCTATAGAAAATGTTGTTATCGAACAACTTTTCTATGAAAAATGCTGTTATCGAACAGCTTCTTTGCATAAAATGTTGTTATCGAAAAACTTTTCTATAGAAACTGTTGTTATTTAACATTTTTTCGGTATAAAATGTTGTTACCGAACATTTTTTCGGTATAAAATGTTGTTATCGAAACAATTTTCTATAGAAAATGTTGTTATCGAACAACTTTTCTATGAAAAATGCTGTTATCGAACAGCTTCTTTGTATAAAATGTTGTTATCGAAAAACTTTTCTATAGAAAATGTTGTTATCGAACATTTTTTCGGTATAAAATGTTGTTATCGAAACAATTTTCTATAGAAAATGTTGTTATCGAACAACTTTTCTCTAGAAAATATAGTTATCGAACAACATTTCTATAGAAAATATAGTTATCGAACAACTTTTCTAAAGAGAATGTTGTTATCTAGCAACTTTTCAATAGAAAATATTGTTATCGAACCATATTTCTATAGAAAATGTTGTTATCGAACAACTTTTCTCTAGAAAATATTGTTATCGAAACAATTTTCTATAGAAAATGTTGTTATCGAAACACTTTTCTATAGAAAATGTTGTTATCGAACAACTTTTCTCTAGAAAATATAGTTATCGAACAACTTTTCTATAGAAAATGTTGTTATCGAACAACTTTTCTATAGAAAATGTTGTTATCGAACAATTTTTCTTTAGAAAATGTTGTTATCGAACAACTTTTCTATAGAAAATGTTATTATCGAACAACATTTCTATAGAAAATGTTGTTATCGAACAACTTTTCTATAGAAAATGTTGTTATCGAACAACTTTTCTATAGAAAATGTTGTTATCGAACAAATTTTCTATAGAAAATGTTGTTATCGACCAGATTTTATATAGAAAAAGTTGTTATCGAACAACTTTTCTTTAGAAAATGTTGTTATCGAACAACTTTTCTTTAGAAAATGTTTTTATCGAACAATTTTCCTTTAGAACATGTTGTTATCGAACAACTTTTCAAAAGAAAATATTGTTATCGAGCAACTTTTCTGTAGACAATATTGTCATCGAACAATTTTTCTATAGAACATGTTGTTATCGGACAACAACTTTTCTATAGAAAATGTTGTTATCGATCATCTTTTCTATAGAAAATGTTGTTATCGAACAACTTTTCTATAGAAACTGTTGTTATCCAACATTTTTTCGGTAAAAAATGTTGTTATCGAACATTTTATCGGTATAAAATGTTGTTATCGAAACAATTTTCTATAGAAAATGTAGTTATCGAACAACTTTTCTATGAAAAATGCTGTTATCGAACAGCTTCTTTGCATAAAATGTTGTTATCGAAAAACTTTTCTATAGAAACTGTTGTTATCCAACATTTCTTCGGTATAAAAAGGTTGTTATCGAACATTTTTTCGGTATAAAATGTTGTTATCGAAACAATTTTCTATAGAAAATGTTGTTATCGAACAACTTTTCTATGAAAAATGCTGTTATCGAACAGCTTCTTTGTATAAAATGTTGTTATCGAAAAACTTTTCTATAGAAAATGTTGTTATCCAACGTTTTTTCGGTATATAATGTTGTTATCGAACATTTTTTCGGTATAAAATGTTGTTATCGAAACAATTTTCTATAGAAAATGTTGTTATCGAACAACTTTTCTCTAGAAAATATAGTTATCGAACAACATTTCTGTAGAAAATATAGTTATCGAACAACTTTTCTAAAGAGAATGTTGTTATCTAGCAACTTTTCAATAGAAAATATTGTTATCGAACCATATTTCTATAGAAAATGTTGTTATCGAACAACTTTTCTATAGAAAATGTTGCTATCGAACAACTTATCAATAGATTTTTTTGTTATCGAAAATTTTTTCTATAGAAAAAGTTGTTATCGAACAACTTTTTTATGGAAAATGTTGTTATCGAACAACATTTCTATAGAAAATGTTGTTAGCGAACAATTTTTCTATAGAAAATGTTGTTATAGAACAACTTTTCTATAGCAAATGTTGTTATCGAACAACTTTTCTATGGAAAATGTTGTTATCTAACATTTTTTCGGTATAAAAAGTTATCGAAAAAATTGATTATGCAGAAAATGTTGTTATCGAACAACTTTTCTCTATTAAATTTTGTTATCGAACCACTCTTTTATTGAAAATATACATTTTCCACGAAGAATATTGTTATCGATCAACTTTTCTGTGGAAAATGTTATTATCGATCAACTTTTCTAGGGAAAATATGGTTATCGACCAAATTTTCCATAGAAAATGTTTTTGTCGAATAATTTTTCTATAGAATATACATATTTTCCATGGAAAATTTTGTTATCGATTAACTTTTACATAGAAAATGTTGTTATCGATTAACCTTTCTGTGGAAAATTTTGTTATCGACCAACTTTTGTATAGAAAATCTCGTTATCGATCAATTTTTCTATTAAAAAATGTTGTTATCGATAAACTTTTCTTTGAAAAATGTTTATTATCGATTTAATTTTCTATAGAAAATTGTGTTATCGAACGGATTTTAATCTAAAACTCATATCTTTTGCACCCAAAATCTCATCCACCTCCCTCTTTTTTCCAGGCATGTCCGTGAAGCGACTGGCATAAATGTCGATATGCGTATCGGCATTCATACCGGCAATGTTTTGTGCGGTGTTCTCGGTCTGAGAAAATGGCAATTCGATGTTTGGAGCGATGATGTTACACTGGCGAATCACATGGAGAGCGGCGGTGTGGCGGGGTAAGTTGTTGCTTCGTTTTGTTTTTTTTTTTATTTTTTGTTATGCTACGTTTGATTACTGTTTTCCTTTCTGCATTTGCCATTCCCAAACGAGACGGAGAAGGTGTATTAAAGGAAATTGGTTTCGTTTGGCTGATTCGGAACGGGAAAAGGAAATTGCCTAGCTGTCATTTTTTTTTTGGCAAAATAATCAATGGATTGCTAAAATATATATGGGAGAAATATCAATAACAAAACGAAATTCGTTGATTGTTTTTTTTGTGAAATGGAAATGAGAGTTAATGGTTTTTAATATGAGGTATCGATAATCGATAAATGCTCTTTGGCATTTAATTGAAAAAAGAAACGAATTGGGATGTTTGATTAACACTTGTTGGAGATATTGATGATGGGAAAAATATTTAAAAAAAAAATTCTGTTGTTTTTTTTTTTTTCATAGAAAGTCTGGTTATCGATGCTTATCGATTTCAATAAAAAAAATTTCCTTTCCATGATTTTTTTTTTTTTTTTGAAAATTTTATTTTCCCAACAAAAAAAGGAGTTGGGCTGGGAATCGTCGCAATTAAAATACCACTCCGGCAAAATTTAAATTCAATATTTTCTCATCGACGAAAAAGAAAAACAAGCCAAAATAAATAAAACTCAATCGAGCGGAACCAATTTTCACCGCAAATGGGAAACGAAAGCAAAATGAGGAGAATATTCAAATGGAGATTTTATTTTTATTTATTTTCGCAAATTATTTCCGTTTTAAATTCAATGGTTTATTGGAAATGCCGTTTCGATATTTTTTATTTTTTTCTTTAATATATAAGGCGGGTACACATCACCAAACAAACATTGGATTTTCTCAATGGCAAATTCGAAGTGGAGGAGGGAAATGGCGGTAGTCGCGATTCCTATTTGGCAGATCATAAAATTGAGACCTATTTAATTGTGCCACCCAAGGTAAACGAAAAAATTATTTCAAAATTAATTTCAAAAAATTTTCAAAATTTAAAAAATAATTAATTTTGTAATTCTAGAAACCCAGCTACATCTTGCATCCGGTGCCACGTGTCATTGAGTGCAGCAACTCCCTGGAGACGGCCGAAAATGCCATGGATCAACAGCCAGCCAACAATGTCTACAGCAGTGGTCACAATGCCGATGCTGAGGCCTCGGAGAAACTTCTACCCCTGACCATTGTCAACTTCAAGGGGGTGGAGGGCAACCATTCTCCGCCGCCAGCAGCAGTGGCAGCAACAACAGGTGGTGGCAGCAACAGTCCTGAGCCAAAACTGCCACAATTATCCTCAACAAAGACATCGATGTCAATTAAAGAAGAAGAAGATGAGGATAACGTGGAACTGAGACAAAACGAAGGAAATAAAAAGGATGCCTCCACCTCCCCCCAGCAACAATTGCTCCCCGAATCGGTGGCAAATCACAATTCAGCCCCAGAGATGGCCAACAATACTCATGCCTCCCTTACACCCAAATCCTCACTAAGTCTACCCAATGAGGATGCCCTCAGTGCCAGTGGCAGTGAGGGAGGAAATAGTGGCGGTACCTCTACCCCTGCCACGCACATCACAGAAAATCCTCTGGCAAATCTAGACTCATCCACAGCTCTAAACGGTAATGCGATTGCCAACTCAGTTAATTCCACCAATGCTGCTGCCGCCACCGCATCAGGAACAACCACAACGGGTAATAATCTCTTGACTTCGGATATGCCAGAGGCCAAGAGCAAACGGAAGCTATCGGTGCAAGGTAAGCAATATGTGTCAGTTTCAGGCAATAATTTGAACTGGTAGATATTTGTGATGCAAATTTGCAGCTAGTTTCGATTAGGTTGGCCAATCGAGTTGTTATCGAGGGGCATGCAAATGCATGCCAAAGACAAAAATCAAAATTTCCTGGAAAAGGACAAGGGAAATATGGACAGGGTTTAAAAAAGAAAAAATCTACTTTTTGAGTTGTTATGGAAAATATGTTACTTTGTTATCGAAAAATAGTCCATTAAAAACTTTGTTATCGAAACAATTCTCTCTTCTCTAAAAACAACAAAATTCCCAGAAAAGGATAGAGAAATATGGACAGGGATTAAATGGGAAAAATTTTACTATTTGAGTTGTGTTATCGAAAATATTTTCTTTGAAAAATATTATATAAAACACTTTGTTATCGAAACAATTCTTTCTATAACAACAATTTTCCACAGAAAATCTCATTCTAAGATTGATTTTCTGCAACAAAATCCTATTATCGATAACATATTTCATAGAAAACCCAATTATCGGAAAAATTTTCCACCGAAAATTACCATTCTGGAAACATTTTTCTATAAAAACGCAATTATCGATAAGATTTTCCACAAAAAAACACTGTTATCGAAAAATATTTCTACAAATATCACCATTATCGAACAAGTTCTTTGTAGAAATTGGTCCTACTGAACCACTTTTCTGTGGAAGACATTGTTATCGGAAAGATTTTCCCCTAGGAAACATTGTTATCGAAACAGAAAACACTGTTATCGACACAGTTTTCCATTAAAATGGTATCATCGATCAAATTATTTATAAAAAAATAATGTTATCGCTCATATATCGATGTGATACGTTGTTATCGATTACATTTGCTATAGAAAAATATTGTTATCGATAGCATTTTTTTTGTAGAAAACGTTGTTGTTTAATACATTTTTTTTATGAAAAACGTTGTAACCGAACAAATTTTTGATGTGAGATGTTGTTATCGATAACACTTTCTGTAGTTAATTTAGTAATCGATCTCATATTCCACAAAAAAATGTTGTTATCGATCATATTTCTATATAAAATGTTGGTATTCTTCACATTTTCGACAGAAAAATGTTGTTATCGATTTCGTCTCTATTGTTATCGATTTAATTTTCTGAAGAAAGTTATGCCATTTCTACAAAAAGTTCTGTTATCGATATTATTTTCGATATAAACTGTTGATATTCTTCGCATTTTCGATAGAAAATCTAGTTATCGATTTCGGCTTCTTTGAAAATAATTGTTATCGAAATTATTTTCTGAAGAAAATGGTGCAATTTCTACATAAAATTTTCTTATCGATCTTATTCTCTATAGAAACTGTTAATATTCTTCACATTTTTGACAGAAAATTTTGTTATCGATTTCGCCTTCTTTGAAAAGTATTGTTATCGATAAAAACTTCTGAAGAAAATGAAGACATTTCTGCAAAAAATGTTGTTATCGATCATATTTTTTATAAAAACTGTTGTTATTCTTCACATTTTCTGTAGAAAAATTTGTTATCGATTTCGCCTTCTTTGAAAAATATTGCTATCGATAAGATTTTCCGAAGAAACTGATGCAATATCTACACAAAATGTTGTTATCGATTATATTTTCTATAGAAATCTTAGTATTCTTCACATTTTCTATAAAAAGTATTGTTATCGATTTCAATCTCTATGAAAAGTAATGTTATCGAAAATATTTTCTGTAGAAATTGGTACCATTTCTGGTTATCGATAAAATTTTCTACAAAAAATTTTATCATTGGTCATGTGTTCTACAGAAACTTTCGGTATTCTTCAAATTCTCTGTGGAAAATTGAGTTATCGATTTCGCCTCCTGTGAAAAATTTTGTTATCGATAACATTTTCTGAACCAAACGATGCCATTTGTACAAAAAATATTGTTATCGATGACATTTTCTTTAGAAACTGTTGGTATTCTTCACATTTTCTATAAAAACCTTTGTTATCTGTTTCGCCTTCTATAAAAAGTATGGGTATCGATAAAATTTTCTAAAGAGAATGGTGCTATATCTACAAAATATTTTGTCATTGAATATATGTTCTCCAGAAACTGTCTTATTATTCTTCACATTCTCTGTAAAAAATTAAGTTATCGATTTTGCATAGTGTGAAAAATGTTGTTATCGATAACATCTTCTGAAGCAAACGTTGCCATTTGTACAAAAAAAAATATTGTTATCGATCACATTTTCTTTAGAACCTGAAATTTTCCACATAAAATTTTGTTATCGATTTCATCAAATATAAAAAGCATTGTTATCGATAATATTTTCTGTAGGAAATAATGTTATCGATAGCATTTTCTAAGAACATGATTTTCATCGATGTTATATTCCATATAAAATGTTGTTATCGATATAATTTTCTGCAGTAAATATTGTTATCGATAACATTTGCCGAAGAAAATATTGCTATCGGTCACATTTTCTATTGAAAATATAGTTATCGTTCATATATTCTGTGTGATATTTTGTCATTGAATACATTTACCATAAAAAATATTGTTATCGATAACATTTATAATGGATAATGTTGTTATCGTAACTTTTTTGATGTCGTAAAATATTCTTATTGAAAAAATTATCCATTATCGATAACCGTCCCTATAGAAATTAATCATAGATTTTTTCTTTGTTATCGAATGTTTTTTATATAAATTATAGTTATCAGCGACAATTTTTATACAATACATTTATCGATAGCATTTTGAATAGAAAAATTAGTTGTAGATAGCATTTTTAAAAGGAAATTTTGATTTCGATAGCATTTTGAATAAAAATCGTTCTTATCGATAGCTGTTTAAAAAGGAAATTTTGTTATCGAAGTTTTTTCTAAAGAAAATGTTGTTGTTGTTGACAATTTATATGGAATATGTTGTTATCGATAACATTTTCTTTAAAAAATGTTGTTATCGATAACATTATGCCTGAAATATGGTATTATCGATATCATTTGTCATTGATAATGTCTTTTTCAAGAAATATGAAATATAAAATTTTGTTATCGATAGCATTTTGAATAAAAAAGTTGTTATCGATAGAATTTTTTAAAAAAATTGTTATTGAAAGCATTGGAAAATGTTGTTATCGAACGTTTTTTCTACGAAAAATTTTGTTATCGCTCACAATTTTCAAAGAGCATGTTGTTATCGGTAACATTTTCTTTAAAAAATATTGTTATCGATAACATTTTCCCTAAAATATGATTTTATCGATATCATTTGCCAATGATGATGTCTTTATCATGACATATGAAATAAAAAATGTTGTTATCGATAGCATTTTTAATGGAAAATGTTGTTATCGATAGTATTTTGAATAAAAAAGTTGTTATCGATAGCGTTTGTTAAAAAGATTGTTATTGAAAGCATTGGAAAATGTTGTTATCGATAGTTTTTTTTCTATGAAAAATATTGTTCTCGTTCACAAATTTTTGTACAATACACTGTTATCGATATTTTCTTTAAAAAATGTTGTCATCGACAGAATTTCTTTATAAAATATTCTTATCGATAACATTTTCCCTATCGATAACATTTGAAATAAAAAATGTTGTTATCGATAACACTTGCGTTAAAAAAATATTGTTATTGATAACATTTGCCGTAAAAAATATTGTTATCGACATTATTTTTCCTAGAAACTATTGTTATCGAAGTAATTTTCTAGGTTAAAGTTGGTTTTCGATTAAATTTCCCTATGAAAATTAAATACTACCTTGCAAATTCCCACAAAATTTAACAATTTTTCCTCGATTTTTTCTCTTCCAGGTCTAATATCATTTGCCGATAGAAGACGCTCGTCTGCATCATTTACCGAACGTAAAATGTCCTTCCATACAAATGAAAGTTTTCGCAGTCATGCAGGTATGTCGACGACATCACTCAATCTACAGCATGAACAGACATGCTATATGGCATGTGCGAATGTCATCAATACACTTCGTGTGTGTGTGAGTGTGTCTGTGCATAAAAAAGTTTAAATTTTCGTTAGAAAAAAAAAAAAAATTCAAGTAAATGAAATTACTTTTGCCATCACCTTGAGATGGAGAAACTATTGACCGATGACCGTAACAAAAAATAAAAATCGAAAAAAAGTTTATTTCAATAAAATTGAATTTTATTTGTTTCTAACTACATTTTAACGGATATCACTTTTCTTGGCATCCTCTCTCTCTCTCTTTCCATGTCTTTGCAGGCCATGTTACACGCAACCGACCCTCATCCAAGATGACCAAATACGTTGAGTGCTGGGGAGCTGATAGACCATTTGCCAATATTGCCGAATCGAAATTGGTTAAGAATATTGGTTTGGCCGTAAGTAACAATTTTCGCAATGTTGATTCGAAGCAGGTGTGAAGGGTGGTGGAGGGTGGAGAAAGGTTGCAATGCAATTACCACAAACATATTTTCGGGGAAACACCAACACATGACTCTTTCTTAAAATGTCATGCCACATAAAAGTGAAGAAATAAATTGCTTAGTTTAAGGGGTATGGAACTCCATTCCGAACATGCCCAAAGTTATGGGAAAATTAAATTTTCTGTAACGGTTTTTTTTTTCATTTTGTCTTATCCTCAATTATCATTAGCACATACTCAGTATGGCTGTCAGTGGGACGTGCTTGGCCTAACTGTGGCCACTGTGGAATGTTTTGTGAAAATGTTGTTGGAATAGTTTGCAAAAAGATGCATAATAACAACATTTTCCACTGAAAAGTTGATCGATAACAACATCTTCCATGGAAAATGTATATTTTCAATAAAAAAAAGTGATTCGATAACAACATTTTCTATAGAAAAGTTGTTCGATAACAAAATTTTCTATAGAAAAGTTGTTCGATAGCAACATTTTCTATAGAAAAGTTGTTCGATAACAACATTTTCTATAGAAAAGTTGTTCGATAACATCATTTCCTATAGAGAAGTTGTTCGATAACAACATTTTCTATAGAAAAGTTGTTCGATAACAACATTTTCCATAGAAAAGTTGTTCGATAACAAAATTTTCTATAGAAAAGTTGTTCGATAACAAAATTTTCTATAGAAAAGTTGTTCGATAACAACATTTTCTAAAGAAAGGTTGTTCGATAACAACATTATCTAAAGAAAGGTTGTTCGATAACAACATTTTCTAAAGAAAGGTTGTTCGATAACAACATTATCTATAGAAAAGTTGTTCGATAACAACATTTTTCATAGAAAAGTTCTTCGATAACACAATTTTCTATAGAAAAGTTCTTCGATAACACAATTTTCTATAGAAAAGTTCTTCGATAACAACATTTTCTATAGAAAAGTTCTTCGATAACAACATTTTCTACAGAAAAGTTGTTCGGTAACAACATTTTCTATACAAAAGTTCTTCGATAACAACATTTTCTAAAGAAAAGTTGTTCGATAACAACATTTTCTAAAGAAAAGTTCTTCGATAATAACATTTTCTATAGAAAAGTTATTCGATAACAACATTTTATATAGAAAAGTTATTCGATAACAACATTTTATATAGAAAACTTGTTTGATAACAACATTTTCTATAGAAATGCTTTTTGATAACATTTTCTATAGAAAAGTTGTTCGATTACAATATTTTCTATAGAAAAGTTGTTCAATAACAATATTTTCCATAGAAAAATTTTTCGATAACAATATTTTCCACAGAAAAGTTGTTCGATAACAATATTTTCCATAGAAAAGTTGTTCGATAACAACATTTTCTATAGAAAATTTGTTCGATAACAATATTTTCCATAGAAAAGTTGTTCGATAACAATATTTTCCATAGAAAATTTGTTCGATAACAACATTTTCTATAGAAAAGTTGTTCGATAACAACATTTTCTATTGAAAAGTTGTTCGATAACAACATTTTCTATAGAAAAGTTGTTCGATAACGACATTTTCTATGAAAAAGTTGTTCGATAACAGCATTTGCTAAAGAAAAGTTGTTCGATAACAAAATTCTTTATAGAAAAGTTGTTCGATAGCCGCATTTTCTATAGAAAAGTTCTTCGATAACAACATTTTTTGTAAAGAAGTCTTTGGATAAAGACATTTTTTCAAAGCAAAATTGATCGATAACAACATTGTCCATTGGAAAATTATTCAACACTCTCTATAAGAGAGCGGATCGATAACAACATATCTATAATAAAATTGTCTGAAAGCAAGTAGCACTTTCCCACTGTGCGCTAACTTCGTTGGCCTTTAAAGTGTTGTGAACGTACACAGAAATATCCTTGACATTCAAACCTCCCGAAAACTATCCTTTTCGAATGTTTGCAAATCTCTGGGACACCTTTACACCCACATCCCATCTGACTTTAACTTGGCAAATGCCATCACCAAATCAAGATACGTGCCTTTAAAAGCTACTGCCATTTCCACACCTACTAGAGTACTGTTGAGTTAAGTGTTTCGCCTCCCCGCTTTGAAGTCTTAGCTTTATTTAATTTCCTATTTTCACTTTTCCTTTTCCACTTCTACTTCTTCTTCTTCTTCTACCCGAACAGAGCATTGCCATGATTGAATCAAATTTATTGCCACCGGAGCGTAAATGTTTTAATTTCAATTGCTTTGGACCACCCACCGAACTGAAGCCGCTCACCATGTGGTATCGCAATACACCGCGCGAAGTAATGTATCGCGCCCAGCCGGATACTCATTTTCGCTATGATTTAATCTGTGCTTTCTTGCTGTTCATCTCGATAGCGGCAGTGCAGTTGATTGTTATGGATATGTGAGTATTATTATTGTTGTTGTTTTATGGGGGGTAGACCTTCAAGGAAATGGGGAAGAAGATCTCTTTATAAGGCATTTCCAAAATTTTATGGAAAAATATTTTTGATAACAACTAACTTTTTAAACAAAAGTTGTTTAATAACAACGTTTTCTATAGACAATTTATCGATAACAATTTTTTCTATGGGAAAATTGACTGATAACAACATTTTCTATAGAAAAGTTATTCGATAGCCACATTTTTCATGGAAAAGTTGTTCGATAACAACATTTTCTATAGAAAAGTTGTTCGATAACAACATATTGTACAGATAAGTGGTTCGATAACAGTCAAAGTTATTCGATAACAACACTTTGTACAAGAAAGTTGGTCGATGAAAACCTTTTCTATAGAAATGTTGTTCGATAACAAAATTTTCTATAGAAAAGTTGTTCGATAATAACATTTTCTGTAGAATAATTGTTCGATAACAACATTATCCATAGAAAAGTTTTTCTATAACAACATTTTCTATAGAAAAGTTGCTCGATAGCAACATTTTGTATAGAAAAGTTGTTCGATAACAACATTTTGTATAGAAAAGATGTTCGATAATGATATCTGCTATCGAAAAATGGTTCGATAACAGCCTTTTGTACATGAAAATGTAGTCGATAAAAACATTTTCTATAAAAAGGTAGTTCGATAACAACATTTTCCACAGAAACGTTGTTCGATAACAACATCTTCAATAGAAAAATTGTCCGATAACAACATTTTCTTTAGAAAAGTTGTTCGATAACAACATTTTCTATAGAAAAGTTGTTCGATAACAACATTTTCTATAGAAAAGTTGTTCGATAACAAAATTTTCTATAGAAAAGTTGTTCGATAACAACATTTTCTACAGAAAAGTTGTTCGATAACAACATTTTCTACAGAAAAGTTGTTCGATAACAACATTTTCTACAGAAAAGTTGTTCGATAACAACATTTTCTATAGAAAAGTTGTTCGATAACAACATTTTCTATAAAAAAGTTGTTCGATAATAACATTTTCTATAGAAAAGTTGGTCGATAACTACATTTTCTATTGAAAATTTGTTCGATAACAACATTTTCTACAGAAAAGTTATTCGATAACAACATATTCTACAGAAAAGGTGTTCGATAACAACATATTCTACAGAAAAGTTGTTCGATAACAACATTTTCTATAAAAAATTTGTGCGATAACAACATTTTCTATAGAAAATATGTTCGATAATAAAATTTTTGACAGCAAAGTTGTTCGATAACAACATTTTCTATAGAAAAGTTGTTCGATAGCAACATTTTGTATAAAAAAAGTTTTCCGATAACAACATTTTTCATAGAAAAGTTGTTCGATAACCACATTTTCCATAGAAAAGTTGTTCGATAACCACATTTTCCATAGAAAAGTTGTTCGATAACAACATTTTCTATAGAAAAGTTGTTCGATAACAACATTTTTCATAGGAAAGTTGTTCGATAACAACATTTCCATAGAAAAGTTGTTCGATAACAACATTTTCTATAGAAAAGATGTTCGATAATAAAATTTTTGACAGCAAAGTTGTTCGATAACAACATTTTCTATAGAAAAGTTGTTCGATAACATCATGTTCTAAAGACATTTTTTTCGATAACAACATTTTCATCTGTTTCCCTTTTTCATTTGTAGTAACCTAGCCCTATTGGGCTCCCTAATAGCAACATTTATATCCCTGGGCCTGTTTCTGTATCTGAGTAACATGCATGTTCCGGACATCAACTCCAGCACACCCGATCGCAATGGTCCCGGCCAGGTGGTGGCCAGTAGCCGTTTCTTGCGTATGGCCATTTTCATAATTGTGAATATTTTAATATCAGCCTGTGCTGTGTTTAGTGTGGTAAGTTGTTGGGTCCAGAGACCCCTGCTCATCCTCCTCAAAATTCCTCACCATTTCATTCCATTGCAGATCAATTTTGCCTACGAGGACTACGATGAACCCACCGTCTCAAATCTCAACCTGACTGGCATCTCGAATATCTCCAATGACTCATCGATACCTGACATAGACACAATACCCTCATATCCGGATCTGCAAATAGCTCCGATATATCTCTTCTGTTGTGCCATCAGCTTGGCAGCTGTCTCGGCTTTCCTGCGCTCGGGATTTATATTGAAATTTTTCACCATGGTAGTGGCTCTGGTGTGCCAGATTGTGGTGCTGCATTTTAGTAATTTATTGGAGCTCTACAATGCCAGATATCGCATGGATTAGTAAGTTGCAGGACCCCTGATGAAGAGTTCCGTTTTATAGCACATATATTTCTTTTTTTCAGCTTGCCCATCGAAGTTAAAAGTTTCCTACTCCTGCTGTTGGTGGTGGCTGTTTTGCACACCCTCGATCGCCAGGGAGAATATGTGGCCCGCACAGATTTCCTGTGGAAGGCCAAGCTAAAAGTGGAACAGGAGGAGGTCGAGACCATGAGGGGTATCAACAAGGTAAGGTCGAAAAAATATGAGAGGAAAAAATATTCTTTCACTCCATTTCTTTTTAGATCCTCTTGGAGAACATTCTACCCGCTCACGTTGCCACCCATTTCCTTAGCCAACAAAATCCCTCTGAGCTATACCATGAGAGCTATTCCTGTGTTGCCGTCATGTTTGCCTCCATACCGAACTACAAGGAATTCTACGATGAAACGGATGTAAATAAGCAGGGCCTGGAATGCCTGCGTCTGCTGAACGAAATTATATGCGATTTTGATAAGGTAGACATTTCGATAACACCGATAACTTTTCATCTCACATTTTTTGGTATCTTTTATTTTCCAGTTACTATTGAAACCCAAATTTAGTGGCATCGAAAAAATTAAAACCATTGCAAGTACCTATATGTGTGCCTCAGGCCTGAGGCCGGGCAAGGAGGAAGGAGCCAAGGTAAGTTTAAAGAATTTTGAAAATTGAAACTCATCAGTTTTCTAAAATATAAATCGAACTATTATTTACGCATGCAGCTGATGCGCAATTTTGCGGTAAGTCAGGTTTTTTTGTTATCGATAACTGTAATATATGTTGTTATCGAAAAATTTAAAAAGGAAACCATTGAAGGAAATAACATTTTCGATGACATATGCTATAGGAAATATTATTATCGATGCCATTTTTTATAGAAATTGATGTTATCGATAACTTTTTCTATAGAAAAAGTGCTTATCGATAACTTTTTATATGAAAAATGTTGTTATCGAACCACTTTTCCATAGAAAATGTTGTTATCGAAGAACTTTTCTATGGAAAATGTTGTTATCGAACAACTTTTCTATGGAAAATGCTGTTATCGAAGACATTATCTATGTAAAATGTTCTTATCGATGACATTTTCTATAGAAATTGTTGTTATCGAACCACTTTTCTGTGAAAAATGTTGTCATTGAACAACTTTTCTGTGGAAAATGTTGTTATCGAAGAACTTTTCTATGGAAATAGTTGTTATCGATTACATTTTCAATAGAAAATGTTATTATCGATGACATTTTCAATAGAAAATGTTGTTATCGACAATATTTTCAATAGAAAATGTTGTTATCGAACCACTTTTCTATGGAAAATGTTGTTATCGAAGACATTATCTATGTAAAATGTTCTCATCGATGACATTTTCTATGGAAAATTTTGTTATCGACAACATTTTCAATAGAAAATGTTGTTATCGACAATATTTTCAATAGAAAATGTTGTTATCGATGGCATTTTTTATAGAAAATGTTGTTATCGATGGCATTTTCTATAGAAAATGTTGTTATCGATGGCATTTTCTATAGAAAATGTTGTCATCGATGGCATTTTCTATAGAAAATGTTGTTATCGATGACATTTTCTATAAAAAATATTGTTATCGATGACATTTTCCATAAATATTATTATAAATATTATCAGTGACATTTTCTATAAAGTTTTCTCTGGAAAATGTTGTTATCGAGAAACTTTCTATAGAAAATGTTGTTATCGATAACGTTTTCTCTGGAAAATGTTGTTATAGAAAATAGTTATCGTTAGTAGGTAGTAGGTAGTTATCGATAACGTTTTCAATAGAAAATGTTGTTATCGATAATGTTTTTTATATAAAATATTGTTATCGATAATATTTTCTATTAAAAATTTTGCTATCGATAATATTTTCTGTTAAAAATGTTGTTATCGATAAAGTTTTCTATAAAAAATTTTGTTATCGATAAAGTTTTCTATAGAAAATTTTGTTATCGATGACATTTTCAATAGAAAATGTTGTTATCGATAATGTTTTCTACAAAAAAATGTTGATATCGATAATGTTTTCTATTGAAAATATTATTATCGATAATGTTTTCTATAGAAAATGTTGTTATCGATAATGTTTTCTATAGAAAATGTTTTTATCGATACTGTTTTCTACAGAAAATGTTGATATCGATAATTTTTTCAATCAAAAATGTTGTTATCGATAATGTTTTCTATTGAAAATATTATTATCGATAACATTTTCAATAAAAAATAGTATTATACACAACATATTCTATAGAATATGTAGTTATCGATAATGTTTTCTATAGGAAATGTTTGTTATCGATAAAGTTTTATAAAGAAAATGTGGTTATCGATAACGTTTTCTATAGAAAATGTTGTTATCGATGACATTTACTATAGAAAATATTGTTATCGATGACATTTTCTAGAGAAAATGTTGTTATCGATGACATTTACTATAGAAAATATTGTTATCGATGACATTTTCTAGATAAAATGTTGTTATCAATGGCATTTTCTCTAAAAAATGTTGTTATCGATAATGTTTTCTATAGAAAATGTTGTTATCGATAATGTTTTCTCTAGAAAATGTTGTTATCGATAATGGTTTCTCTAGAAAATGTTGTTATCGATAATGTTTTCTATAGAAAATATTTTATCGATAACATTTTTTGTTAAAAAAGTTGCTACCGATAACATTTTCTATAGAAAATATTGTTATCGATGACATTTTCTATTGAAAATCTTGCTATCGATGACATTTTCTAGAGAAAATGTTGTTATCGATAACATTTTCAAAAGAAAATGTTGTTATCGAACAACTTCTCTATTAAAAATGTTGTTATGGATAATGTTCTGTATAGAAAATTTTGTTATCGGTAACGTTTTCAAAAGAAAATGTTGTTATCGATGGCACTTTTAATGAAAAATGTTGTTATCGATAACAAGTCTATCTTAAAAACAGTCTTATATATTCGATTATTTAATTTTCTGTTCGTAAAATATCAATTTAAATCGTCCAATATCAATGAAGTAAAACAGCTTCAACTAACTAATGCGATTATTCAATTTTTCTTTTCCTCAACCCCCCACCCCCATCCCCCGGGCGTAATAACATGTTGATATTTTTTTTATCTCTTTAAGGATGAGAAACGTACCGAGGAGCATAATGTTGTCATTCTGGTTGAATTTGCCATAGCACTGATGTCAATTTTAGATTCCATAAATCGTGAATCGTTTCAACGCTTCAGGCTACGCATTGGCCTCAATCATGGTCCTGTCATTGCCGGCGTGATTGGAGCTCAAAAGCCGCAATACGACATTTGGAGCAACACGGTGAATGTGGCATCACGCATGGATTCGTGTGGTGTCATGGGTCGATTACAGGTGGGTTATCGGTGATGAAGGCAGAGAATTTAAGAAGTTTATGTTTTTGTTATTTCTTTGCAGACAACCGAGCACACGGCCAAAATCTTGATGGCAGCTGGCTATGAATGCGAGTGCCGTGGTCTGACCTATGTCAAGGGCAAGGGAAATCTAGTCACCTACTTCGTAAAGACACCATTCGATGGGAAATTGTAAATCATTGTTTGTTTAAGAATATTATTTCAAATATTATGTTTCTCTTTTTTTCTAAATTACTTTACATGTTTTATAAAAACAACAACAACAAAAACAATAATACACATTTCAAAGATGAAGAAAAAAAAAACAAAAAAAATACTAATGGAAAAATTATGCAAATTAGCGGAAAAAATGAAAAACTCATCATTTAGCAAATATTATATTTATTACAAAGCCAACAACACCTACACCATACCTTCACTCCATATCCTGCTCCCCGCCATGATAATTACATGCTCAGCACCACTTGAATATGAAATGTTAGGCAATAAAATTGAAGAAGACGAAAAAAGCTGATGCGAAAGTTAACGAATTCAAATTCAAACCTTCTCCTTTTTTTGACACTAACACCCACCACCGAACATCACCGACACCATATCCTCCACCTTCCCCTCCAAATCCCACTTAACAGCATCATTTTTCATACAGTCATATTTCAATTATCCAAAGCATTTAATTTATATACACGCACACACACATACAAACAAACACATAAATTTATATTTTTTAGAAGAATAAAAAAAAGAGAAAACCAATTATAATAACAATTACAAAAAAAGAAGAACAATAAGAAAACAAAATAGGGAAAATGTGGAGTCCAGCGGTATCGAGGCAGAGAGGCAAAGGTATAATTGTCCCACATGCAGGAGTTATTTTGATTTTTTTAATGCTATTTTCAAAATCCAATATTTATGATGAAAAATGTATTATCAATTGTTGATCCCACGAAAAATATTGTTATCGATATATTATCATTCAAAATCTTCAACGTAGTATTTAGGCAATTTTCAAAAAAAAAAAAAAACCATTTCCAAAATCCAAAATTGAAATTTTGGAATAATAATATATCGATAACAATATTTTTCATGAGATCAACAATCGATAATACATTTTTCGACACTCAAATTTATCGATAACAACATTTTTACTGGAAAAATTTATGGAATATAGCATTTGGTACACAATAAATAATCGATAACAATAGTTGTTTAGTAAAAATATTTCGATAACAAAATGTTTCGATAACAAGGTTGTTGTTACTGGAAAAGTTTATTGATAAAAGAACATTTGACTGAAAACATAATCGAAAGCAAAATTTGCTAAATAAAAACATTTCGATAACCAGTTTTACTTCAAAAACATCGATCGATAACAATATTTTTACAGGTAGTTTTTATTTTAAAATGCATATTCCACCAAAAATGTAATCGAAGGAAAAGAAAATTGCATCAAAAATGTAATCGATAACAATATTTCACTAATAAAAATATTTCGATAACAAAAATTTTGCATTAAAAATCGGTTGAACTTTCTGTACAGAAGAATTATTCGACAACTACTCTTGTTCCTGCAGAAAAAGTGTTGGAAAACAGCGTTTTTCTACAGCAAAAATTTCCGATAACTTCATTTTCTATAGAAAAAAAGTTCGATAACAACAATTTCTCTCGAAAAGTTGTTCGATAACAACATTCTCTATAGAAAAGTTGTTCGATAACAACTTTTTTTAACAGATTTTTTTTATGAAAAAGTTGTTCGATAACATTATTTTCTATAAAAAAGTTGCTCGATAACAGTATTTTCTATGGAAAAGCTCTTCGATAACAACTTTTTCTATAAAAACGTGGTTCGATAACAAATTTTTCCATGGAAAAGTCGTTCGATAAAAACTTTTTCTAGAGAAAAGTTGTTCGATAAAAACATTTTCGATAACAACATTTTCCATATAAAAGTTGTTCGATAACAAAATTTTCTATAGAAAAGTTGTCCGATAACAACATTTTCCATAGAAAAGTTATTCGATAGCAACATTTTCTATGGAAAAGTTATTCGATAACCACATTTTCTATAGAAAAGTTGTTCGATAACAACATTTTCTATAGAAAAGTTGTTCGATAACAACATTTTCTATAGAAAAATTGTTCGATAACAACATTTTCTATAGAAAACTTGTTCGATAACAACATTTTCTATAGAAAAGTTGTTCGATAACAACATTTTCTATAGAAAAGTAGCTCGATAACAAATTTTTCTATAGAAAAGATGTTCGATAACAACTTTTTCCATTGAAAAGTTGTCCGATAATACCATTTTATGCAACTGTTTCTATGGAAAACTTGTTCGATAACAACTTTTTCTATGGAAAAGTTGATCGATAACAACTTTTTTTTATAGAAAAGCTGCTTGATAACAACATTTTCTATAAAAAAAGCTGCTTGATAACAACATTTTCTATAAAAAAAGTTGTTGGATAACAACATTTTCTATAGAAAATTTGTTCGATAACAACATATTCTATAGAAAAGTTGTCCGATGAAAACATTTCCTACAGAAAAGTTCTTCGACAAAAACATTTTCTATGGAAAGGTTGTCCGATAGCAATATTTCCTATAGGAAAGTTGCTCGATAACAACATTATCTACAGAAAAATTATTCGACAGCTTTTTCTTTGGAAAAGTTGTTCGATAACAACTTTTTCTTTGGAAAATTCATCAATTTTTATTTGATGTTAAACATTTTTGATAACAACTTTTGCCATAAAAAAACTCCCAAAATCTCTTGTATGCAAATATGTATCCGTTTAGATCCAAACGTATCACATTCTTCCTCCTTGCAAAAGGTTCTTGCCATTTGAATGCTACGCAGTTATTTAAATCAGCATTTTGGTTAATGTAATTACGACGGCCTAATAGGCTCTCGTATTGCTTTCAATTCTAAGCAGCAGTGGAAGAGGAGTGGGAAATAATGCCCACGGCCTTAATAACACCCAGCACGACAGGATGAAACCATCAAAACAGATGCGTGGGCGAGTACAACATTTAACCGCCAAAATGCCAACATTTGCTCCACTCCCTTTGTTGTTGTTATTGTTTTCTAAATAGCCTTAGGTGTTTCATAACTGTTTATGTTGCTTATTAAACGAAAATTTTTAATGTAAATGTTATTTTTTGTTGTTTCAATGCAAAAACAGAAACCAACAACAACAATTTACAAAAGAAAAACAGAAAAAAATACTGTTATGTTAATTTAATAATGTTAAATGTTTTCTTGATTATTTTTAAAATTATTTTCATTTGTTTCTTAACTTTCCTCACTCCCACCTACTATGCTACCCCACTCTCTCTCTCTCTCTCTCTCTCTCACACTCACTCACTCTCTGAAGATATACCTCAAAGAATATGTTTTTTGTTCTTACAACTTCTATGACACTAACCTCTTGAAGCCCACCACCAACCCTCCTCTAACCGAATAAAAGCTAAAAATATTTAAAACACAAACACAGCAACTACAACAATAAAGCAAAAATGTACAGAGGAAACAAGAAACTCGTAACATTTATCGAAAGTTGTCTATATATATTTTTTAAAAAAGCATATATTTATTAAAAAAAAAAAAAAACAAAAAATAACACAACAAAAAAACAAACAAACTATTTTTTATACTAAATTGTTATTATTAAATATATTACGTTTTGTTTATTTGCCTAGTTTTAAGTTTTTTTATGATTGTATGTTAAAAACAAAAAAACATTTTTGAAAAAATGAAGAAAAATCGAAGGATAAGTAGTGGTATTTTTAAGAAAATTACCTATATGTCTGTAGGTGTGTATGTTTCTTTAAATTAGAAAAATATTTAAAAAAAATAATAATAATAAAATAATAATAAAGCAAACATCACACTTTATCTCTTTTTGTGACTAAAAAAATAAAATACAACAACAACAATAAATAAACTATTGTAAAAATAAATGTCACATTCAAATAACTATGCATACATACAATAAACAAAAAAAATCGAAAATAAAATGTTTAGCAGAATATAATGAGAAAATGTGTTTTATTTGTCAAAAAAAATTATTTAAAAAAACAGTGAAGAAAGTCTTAAAGTCGGGCGGGGCCGACTTTATGATACCCTACACCACTTTGCTAATTTAGTAGAGCTCCGCATAATTCAACATACATGCTCTAATTATAATTATAATACTGGAAATATATATATATATATATATATATATATATATATATATATATATATATATGCCGAAGCATTTGTATCTTTTAAATTCGGACTTGTATTGCCCATTTGATGCACAATTAATTTGAAATCGGATAAAGATATATATGGGAGCTATATCCAAATCGGAACCGATTTCAATTTCAAATATTTGATATATTTCCCTTAATACCGTTGTTACGGAGTGCATATTACGGCTGTGGGTAACAAATATAACAAATCGGATGAACAATATATATGGGAGCTATAGCTATATCTGAACCGATCTTCACCAAAATTGGCATACTAGTTTCTAGACTCAATCCGGTCGCATGTACCAAATTCCATCCCATTTGGGCAAATATTAGATATTTGGTGCACAATAAAAGACAAATCGGACGAAGATATATATGGGAGCTATATCCAAATCTGAACCGATCGCGATAAAATTTAGCAAATGTATTTCTGAGCTGTATTTGATATATTTCCCCAAATATTGTTCTTACAGAGTGCATATTACGGCTGCGGAGGACAAAAATAACAATTCGGATGAACAATGTATATGGGAGCTATAGCTATATCTGAACCGATCTTCAACAAAATTAGCATACTAGCTTCTGGACTCAATTCGGTTGTAAGTTCCAAATTTCATCCCATTTGGGCAAATATTAGACGTTTGGTGCACAATCAAAAGTAAATCGGACGAAGTTATATATGGGAGCTATATCCAAATCTGAACCGATCTTGATAAAATTTGGCGAACTTATTTCCAGGCCTAATTTGGTTGTATGTGCAAAATTTCACACTTTTCGGGCTGATATTACACGTTTGGTGCACAATAAAGAGCAAATCGGACGAAGTTATATATGGGAGCTATATCCAAATCTGAACTGATCTCGATAAAATTTAGCAATTGTATTTCTGAGCTGTATTTGATATATTTCCCCAAATATTGTTCTTACAGAGTGCATATTACGGCTGCGGAGGACAAAAATAACAATTCGGATAAACAATGTATATGGGAGCTATAGCTATATCTGAACCGATCTTCACCAAATTTGACATACTAGTTTCTATACTCAATCCGGTCGCATGTGCCAAATTCCATCCCATTTGGGCAAATATTAGACATTTGATGTATAATAAAAGCTAAATCGGACGAAGTTATATATGGGAGCTATATCCAAATCTGAACCGATCTCGATAAAATTTAGCAAATGTATTTCTGAGCTACATTTGATATATTTCCCCAAATATTGTTGTTACAGAGTGCATATTACGGCTGCGGAGGACAAAAATAACAATTCGGATGAACAATATATATGGGAGCTATAGCTATATCTGAACCGATCTTCACCAAATTTGACATACTAGTTTCTAGACTCAATTCGGTCGTAGGTGCCAAATTCCATCCCATTTGGGCAAATATTAGACATTTGGTGCACAATCAAAAGTAAATCGGACGAAGTTATATATGGGAGCTATATCCAAATCTGAACTGATCTCGATAAAATTTAGCAAATGTATTTCTGAGCTGTATTTGATATATTTCCCCAAATATTGTTCTTACAGAGTGCATATTACGGCTGCGGAGGACAAAAATAACAATTCGGATAAACAATGTATATGGGAGCTATAGCTATATCTGAACCGATCTTCACCAAATTTGACATACTAGTTTCTAGACTCAATTCGGTTGTAAGTTCCAAATCTCATCCCATTTGGGCAAATATTAGACATTTGGTGCACAATCAAAGGTAAATCGGACGAAGTTATATATGGGAGCTATATCCAAATCTGAACTGATCTCGATAAAATTTAGCAATTGTATTTCTGAGCTGTATTTGATATATTTCCCCAAATATTGTTCTTACAGAGTGCATATTACGGCTGCGGAGGACAAAAATAACAATTCGGATGAACAATGTATATGGGAGCTATAACTATATCTGAACCGATCTTCACCAAATTTTACATACTAGTTTCTAGATTCAATTCGGTTGTAAGTGCCAAATTTCATCCCATTTGGGCAAATATTAGACGTTTGGTGCACAATCAAAAGTAAATCGAACGAAGTTATATATGGCAGCTATATCCAAATCTGAACCGATCTCGATAAAATTTAGCAAATGTATTTCTGAGCTGTATTTGATATATTTCCCCAAATATTGTTCTTACAGAGTGCATATTACGGCTGCGGAGGACAAAAATAACAAATCGGATGAACAATATATATGGGAGCTATAGCTATATCTAAACCGATCTTCACCAAAATTGGCATACTAGCTTCTAGACTCAATTCGGTCGTAAGTTCCAAATCTCCTCCCATTTGGGCAAATATTAGACGTTTGGTGCACAATCAAAGGTAAATCGGACGAAGTTATATATGGGAGCTATATCGAAATCGGAACCGATTTCAATAAAATTTGGCAAAGATATTTCTGAGCTATATTTGATATATTTCCCCAAATATTGTTGTTACAGAGTGCATATTACGGCTGCGGAGGACAAAAATAAGAAATCGGATGAACAATATATATGGGAGCTATAGCTATATCTGAACCGATCTTCATCAAATTTGGCATACTAGCTTCTAGACTCAATCCGGTCGCACGTGCCAAATTCCATCCCATTTGGGCAAATATTAGACATTTGGTGTACAATAAAACGTAGATCGGTCGAAGTTATATATGGGAGCTATATCCAAATCTGAACCGATCTCGATAAAATTTGGCAAAGATATTTCTGAGCTGTATTTGATATATTTCCTTCAATATCGTTATTACGGAGTGCATATTACGGCTGCGGAGGACAAAAATAACAATTCGGATGAACAATATATATGGGAGCTATAGCTATATCTGAACCGATCTTCACCAAATTTGACATACTAGTTTCTAGACTCAATTCGGTCGTAGGTGCCAAATTCCATCCCATTTGGGCAAATATTAGACATTTGGTGTACAATAAAAGGTAAATCGGACGAAGTTATATATGGCAGCTATATCCAAATCGGAACCGATCTCGATAAAATTTGGCAAAAATATTTCTGAGCTGTATTTGATATATTTCCCGGGATATCGCTGTTACGGAGTGCATATTACGTCTGCGGAGGACAAAAATAACAAATCGGATAAACAATATATATGGGAGCTATAGCTATATCTGAACCGATTTCGATCAAATTTGGCATACTAGCTTCTAGACTCAATTCGGTCGTAAGTTCCAAATCTCCTCCCATTTGGGCAAATATTAGACATTTGGTGCACAATCAAAGGTAAATCGGACGAAGTTATATATGGGAGCTATATCTAAATCTGAACCGATCTCGAAAATTTAGCAAATGTATTTCTGAGCTGTATTTAATATATTTCCCCAAATATTGTTCTTACAGAGTGCATATTACGGCTGCGGAGGACAAAAATAACAAATCGGATGAACAGTACATATGGGAGCTATAGCTATATCTGAACCGATCTTCAACAAATTTGACATACTAGCTTCTAGGCTCAATTCGGTCGTAAGTGCCAAATTTCTTCCCATTTGGGCAAATATTAGACATTTAGTGTACAATAAAAAGTAAATCGGACGAAGTTATATATGGGAGCTATATCCAAATCTGAACCGATCTAGATAAAATTTAGCAAATGTATTTCTGAGCTGTATTTGATATATTTCCCCAAATATTGTTCTTACAGAGTGCATATTACGGCTGCGGATGACAAAAATAACAATTCGGATAAACAATGTATATGGAAGCTATAGCTATATCTGAACCGATCTTCACCAAATTTGACATACTAGTTTCTAGACTCAATTCGGTCGTAAGTGCCAAATTCCATCCCATTTGGGCAAATATTAGACATTTGGTGCACAATCAAAGGTAAATCGGACGAAGTTATATATGGGAGCTATATCCAAATCTGAACTGATCTCGATAAAATTTAGCAAATGTATTTCTGAGCTGTATTTGATATATTTCCCCAAATATTGTTCTTACAGAGTGCGTATTACGGCTGCGGAGGACAAAAATAACAAATCGGATGAACAATATATATGGGAGCTATAGCTATATCTGAACCGATCTTCACCAAATTTGACATACTAGTTTCTAGACTCAATTCGGTCGTAAGTGCCAAATTCCATCCCATTTGAACAAATATTAGACATTTGGTGTACAATAAAAGGTAAATCGGACGAAGTTATATATGGGAGCTATATCCAAATCTGAACCGATCTCGATAAAATTTAGCAAATGTATTTCTGAGCTGTATTTGATATATTTCCCCAAATATTGTTCTTACAGAGTGCATATTACGGCTGCGGAGGACAAAAATAACAATTCGGATGAACAATGTATATGGGAGCTATAGCTATATATGATCCGATTTCAATCAAATTTGGCATACTTATTTTCAGGCCTAATTTGGCTGTTTGTGCAAAATTCCATACTATTCGGGCTGATATTACACGTTTGGTGCACAATAAAAGGCAAATCGGACGAAGATATATATGGGAGCTATATCTAAATTTTGACCGATTATCTCCAATTTCAATAGGGTTCGTCCTTGGGCCAAACAAATGTTGTTTGGAAAATTTCATCTCAATCGGATAATAAATGCGAACTGCATTTTGTTCATAAGAATACATGTATAGACGGACGGACGGACGGATAGAAGGACTGACATGCATAAATCGACTCAGAATGTGATTCTATGCAGATCATCAAAAGGAACTATGGGTCTATCTCGTTTCCTTTTGCCTGTTACAAACAAATGCACAAAGACACAATACCCTGACCACCTTGTGGTGTAGGGTATAATTAGGGACTGCAAAGCATCTAAAATTGTTGGTTCTATAAACATTTTTTATTTATTTATTTTTTTTTTTTTAAATATTAGAGTGAGATAAAAAAAATTGCAACAAAATCAAATGACATAATTTTTACGTTTCTTTTTTTAATTTTATTGAATGGAAGCAAAAAATGTCGGAAATAGCACGAATTGGCACGAATTATGGCCTTCAAACGGCCAATGAAACCATCACACGCTGCCCGAATGTTGCTCTGCGGTATTTCGGCCCATTCCCGGCAAAGCGCTTGCTTGAGGTCATCGACACTTTGGTATTTTTTAATCGTCTCAAAAAAATTCTCTACAGATGACTGATAATAAGTTCTTCTACAAGCGTCTAAAATGGAGTCTTATTGACGGCTGAAAAGGAGTCTCTATAGACTAAAAGTATTCCCCCATTGAATTCTAAAAAGGGATGTTTATGGATAGCAAAAAATAAGATTAAAAGTAGCCCCTGTAGATGATAAGAAAGGAATCTCTGCAGATGACTGAAAAATAATTTTTAAGGGGACGAAAAATGTTCCTTTTTGGGATGGAAAGACTATTAACCCGAAAATATACTTTAAAGGACACGTATATTTAAATCCCAATAAAAGATTTTTGTACATATATTTATAGAGAACACTAAATTTATATTTATTCGAGATAGATTTTCCACTAAATTATTTATGTAAATGTTGTTTGTTGCTTATACCTTAAAAAAGATGTTCGATTAGAAAATGCAAAAAAGTAATATTTACAAATCTTACATTTAAAAATACACATAAAAAATGATATATACAAAAAATCTGTTGATACACCTATATAAAATTGAGCATATTCAAAAAATGCCTGTAAGAGATATGGAGATTCTAGAGAAGTGTTACAACTAATATTTAAAAAAAAAATAAAGAAATACAACAAAAAAATATACATCGCCAAAACTGGTGATAAAATACAATAACAAAATCGGTTCAATGCCTTAAGATTCAAATGCTTGAAAGGAATTTGGAGACGTAACTACTAAAGGGGAATGTTTTGTATTGCAAGCATAGAAGTTTCCGTTTTGAGCAACACAAATAAATACTCTTTCCAATCCATTTCCCTTTTCTTCTTGTTGTTGACTTAAAAATGTGGCAGACACACCTTACCGGCAAATAGCTCCGATACGACCGTAATCCACAATGCCAATACAAACAAGATATATGAAATACCAATTTTATAGGTATTCGGCAATTGATATGCCTGGCCACCGATTTCCTCAATGTGGAAGCCCAATGGAAATACCACTGCCGCAAGGCAAAACAAAACCATTGCCGTAAATCCAACCCAACGGGCATAGGGTATAACATTACGATCCCAAGTACTGGAAGCCAGCAATATAACCGTGGTCGTTATACAAATGCAGCCAATAAAAATGCAAACCAAAGCAATAAGCCATTCGGGTTGTAGTTCGGGGGTATAACAAACCTGGGGACGGTTATAGAGGGTCATGCATGTCCACATTAGGCCGAGACGTATGTCACCTGGAAAATATGGAGGGATTAATGTTCTGTGTGTATTAAGGGGTGGGGGAGAGTTTTCCTGATTTTAACTTACCCGCCTCTTCAGTCACTATCCAATCGGGCATAGCCAAGCTTACAATTGCAAAGACATCGGCTGCCATAAACAATGTGGCACTAATTGTTGTGAGTTTGTCCATTTTCTGGGGGTCTTATCTGAAAAAAGACACGAATTAAATACATTAGAAGCATTGTAGCATAGCCAGCAATAGTATTGCTAGGACGTGGTCCAGAAACTCCTCCGGCAATAATTTGACTATTTAAGATGGCACTTGGTAACCGCTCAGTGTATCCACACCGAAAAGGTCGGACAATTAAGAAGGCAGAGATGGTATCTTGTGTGGTTATCTACACAGATAGAGATCCAATGGCTTGAATTCTATACGGTACTCTTAAAAGCCCACATAAACACACGGATACATCACTTACTTGCTTTTTTCAAATATGTATCCTATTGTGGGACGAAATTGGATTTTCAACGCAAAAACGAACACGGCAGGAGGTACAACACTAGAGTACCCATTAGGTTTTCGCAGGGAACAATTGAAATGGTCAATAACAGTCCCCTCAGAAACCTGGAAACCTAAGACTATATCACCCACCAAGTTGCACCCCACAATTAGCTCCCCATCTAATTGAATAAAATTAATTTTGGGATTTTACTCACTATTTTTCCAATCTAATCAATACAATCCTATTAGTCCTGTCCAGACAATGTGTCCAATTTCAATTGTTAAGAGGTGAGTGGATGTATCCATCCGCTTCTAAGTCGGAGCAGAGCGAATGCGAACAGGAAGCCAAAACAAAAGACGTTCCAAACGAAACAAACAAGAAGGCAAATAGGTAATGTCCGATAAAAAATAAACAGAAAGCAAAACACCCGAATAACTTTCTTGTTTACGAATGTGTGTAATACATAACGCCGAAAAATTACGAATGAGACATGAGGACAATGCAATCAGCTGGAAATATTCATTAAATGAGCCACGGAACTTACTAGACCAATTGGCTGATAGCCGGCCATATTTAAAAGCGTTCCAAAATGTGCACTGGATGAAGACTGAATGCCGCTGAAATATAAGCAAAATACAGAATGCTTTATTTTACGAATGAGTGTTATACATAATGGCTGATATTCCGCCTGTTTTTACGAATAAGGCATATTAAAAAAGGCAACCAGCTGTAAAATAGAGACCGTAAGAAGGAGGTGCAATCAAAAAGCAAACAACTCACTTTGAGTTGATAACACATAATTTGTGTGCTGCCAACCAAGAATAAAATATGTCAACTTGGCAGTATTGGATAATAAAGGCGCCAAACATCCTTGGAAAGGGAAGAATGGCAAGAAATTTGATTTGGAGACCGTTTAATATGCGGCTGGAATGGGTCTTGATGATTTGATGGATAGTAATCTTTTTTTAACTAATGTGTTAGAAGTCTATAGACGAGTCGGAGAGGATTTTGTATAGACGATTGGTAAAGGAATCTGTGTAAACGATACAGTTAGGAGTACCTTATACGTCTTTGAAAGAAATCAGTAAGAGCGGCCGGGCAAGAAGTCGATATAAATGATTCTGAAAGGAGTCTATACGAATTACTGAGTAAGTGGCCAGTACATACAACAGCAGAGTGGTTTATATAGAGTACTGGAAGTCTGAATGGGCAAGGGTTGGGGAGTCTGTTTACTAAAAGAAGTCATGTGTATGAAATAGTGCAGTGAAGACGACGATCCTTAAAGAATTTAGAAATTTGCTCCTTACGGAACAATTACAGGATATTCTTTATAGATGACTAAATTAAATCGTAACTACTGCAAGATGACGACCCTTAAAAGATTCTATCTAGAGAACTGGAGAAGTTTCTTTACGTAGCAATTACAGGATATTCTTTATAGATGACTAAATTAAATCGTATCTACTACCCCATCCCTAATGTGCATTCAAATTTTCGTATTCACTTTTTCCTAAATGGTTTATTGCACTTTCTCCTTGACCCCACTTTCCAGATTGATTTCAAAGCCTTCCCCTCTCCACACGGCATTGTAACGAAAACAAATCTCGTTTCCAGTTTAACGTTGTACGTTTTGCACTTATTCAAGTTCTTTATTGATAATGCCTATTTAAAATTGTTATAATTTACTTGTTGTTCTTGTTATTTGTTTTTATTTTTCAAATTAAAAAAGAAAACTTGAAATCAATAAATTGCTTTTTTTTGGAAATAAATTACAATAAAGAGAGTGATAGACGATCGATTTTATCGTTGATATCCCATTGGAGGTTCATACATATACATATTTGTTTCTTTGTAAAATAACTTAAGGCCTTTTTGTTGTAGTAAAATTAGATGTTAAATAGGAGTTTTGGTGGAGATGTTTAAATGTTGCTTTTGAGAGTTTATGTGGGACTGTTAGCCTAACTGAAGGGGGGAGGAGAAAAGAAGATGTCTAAAAGTTAATGGGTTTGCCAAAGGCAGCAGCAACATTAGCTTCACGCAAAGCTTCAGCACAGGTCTGGAAGAAAAAAGCAATTTTTCATTAATCATATTCATACAAATTAGAAATGTGGGCTAACTTACAGGATGGGCATGGCAGACACGGGCAACATCTTCAGCGGAGGCACCATATTCCATGGCCAAAACAGCTTCATTGATAAGTTCACCGGCAGACTGGAATTTCAAACAAAAACAGTTAATTCTCTGTAATTTAAAATAAACTTCCTTTTACTTACGGGACCAATGATGTGTGTGCCCAGCACACGATCTGTAGCCTTATCAGCCAAAACCTTGACGAAACCATCAGTTTCGTTGTTGGTCTTGGCACGGGAATTGGCCAAGAATGGGAATTTGCCTACTTTGTATTCAACACCCTCTTGCTTGAGGGCCTCTTCGGACTTGCCAACCCACGCAACTTCAGGATGGGTATAGACAACAGATGGCACGCAGTTGTAGTCAATGTGGACATGGCCGCCCAACATACCCTCGACGCAAATGATACCCTCATCTTCGGCTTTGTGGGCCAACATGGGACCATGAATGCAATCACCGATGGCATAGATATTGGGAACGGTGGTCTGGAAGTGATCATTGACGGGAACGCGTCCTCTGTCGTCCTTGACAATGCCAACATTTTCCAAGCCCAAACCTTCGGTGTAGGGACGACGACCAACGGATACCAACAAGGCATCACATCTCAGTTCTTCCTTTTCACCGGTCTTGGCATTCTCCACTTGAACGGTGACAATGTTACCGTCACGGGTGGCCGACAATACCTTGGTGCCGGTCTTGAAAATCAAACCCTGTTTGGTCAAGACCTTTTGGAAAGTTTTCGAAACTTCACCATCAATGCCCACACCACCAATGGTGTCCATGAATTCAACGGCCGTCACTTCAGCACCCAAACGAGACCACACCGAACCCAATTCCAAACCAATAACACCGGCACCAATGACAATCATTTTTTCGGGCACCTGCTTCAAGGCCAAGGCACCAGTCGAGGAGACAATAACTTCCTCATCGATTTCAATGCCGGGGAATGGTGTAACCTCTGAACCGGTGGCAATCATGATGTTCTTAGTTTGTACTGTTTCCACAGAGCCGTCATCTTTTTTGACTTGCACCTCATTGGGGGAGGTGATGGTACCGAAACCGGTCAATTGGGTAACTTTGTTCTTCTTGAACAATTGGGCAATGCCACCGGTCAAGGCTTTGACGGCGTTGCTCTTTTGGGTCATCAATTTTTCTAAATCCAAAGAGACATTGCCACAGACAATACCACGATTATCCAAATCACCCGAATGGGCCATGTGATAGTAATGGGAGTTGTTGAGCAAAGCTTTGGAGGGAATGCAACCAACATTAAGGCAGGTACCGCCCAGAGTGGGGTTCTTTTCAACACTGACAGTCTGCGGGGCGAGAGTAGAAAGAACAACTTTTAATAAACATTTAGAAATTTGGAAAGAAAATCGATCTTACCTTCATACCCATTTGGGCGGCTTTAATGGCAGCAACATAACCACCGGGACCCGAACCAATGACAACCAAATCGGCTTCATGTGTGGTGGAATAAAAGCGACCGTTCAAGGCACCCAAAATGGCGCCATTGCTACGCAAGGGGGTCTGAAAAAGGAGTGGGAAATAGAATTAGTTAAAAATATTGTTCCACAAAGTTTTTTTCGAAGCCTGGGTTTTCCCAACCGAAACTTCAAATATTTCTCCTTTCCTCTCACTTATGCTGTGGGAATCAGCTGACGTTTCTATTGTAAACATCACACTTAGGGTTGCCAATTGTTGGAAAAAAATCTAAAGCGGTTAAAGGAAAAGTGACCGGTTAAGTCAAATCCTATTGAAAACAAAGCTCAATCCTTTTAAGATACCTTAAAAGATTGCCAAGAAGGTAATATTTGCGTCTGAAATCATAAATTTAAATTCCGTACTTGGTGCCTATGCCGAATATTAACTTTCGGCAACTTTTCTACACTTCAATAAATTCTATTCTAAAAACCCGCGTGATTCTCCTGCTTATTTCAGGAACTTTTTTCTTGGTGGCCGGACCCGGGTACCCCAATGTTTGAGCCAAAGACCTAGGAGTAGATTCCATATCTATCATAAATCCCAAAATATTATTTTTAAGACTACGTGCAATATTATGGCTTTAAACAATAGACATCCACTGCTACCTATAATTGTATGCTTATCTGTAATGTATATTTCTTAAGAGATTTCCCACCGACTATTGTCTTGAATTGAGTACTATCATTCAAAAATTATATATTGCCGGCTAATTGTTCATTCCATCCCGGATTTACAATCAGAAGCTGATTTTAAATCCAAATCAATATTCATCAAGTGTCTTTAAACCAGCTGATCGCCGTCGTCAACGAATTATGAAACCCATGTTAACATTGTTGTTGGGCATGTGTTGTGAACTTTCTGCTTGGCTGATGCAGAGAGATAACGATAACGACGTAATCTCTGCAAATATGTTAGGCACTTTTATTCAAGCAAATATTTTTTCCGATTAGAAATCGACAAAATAAAACACATTTCTTTAAACATATGTCTCTAGGACAGATATTTCACAGAGTCTTCCCGTTATCAGGCGACAAAATTAATCTTCCGTTTTTAATCAAAATCCATGACCCCCCCGTGAGTTTTATAATGCTCATTATCTGGCCATTCAAATAATCATACGATAAGGGCGGCGGGGAACAGTGACCATAAAACAACAACAACAAACTTTTTCCAGTCTTTTCATGGGCTGATGATTCAATGAGGGATTTCCCTTGCAATTTCAAGCCTCATCAAGACATTTAATTAACGGCAGGTAACTCTGCATAACAATTCTCTCACTCTCTCTCCCTCTTTTCTCTTTGAGGGTATCTAGATAACTTGATGGAAGCAGCAAAAAAGAAATCAACCTTTTGCAAATTACATGACGTTTCAAAAGAATTTTACACATTTTTCCAGACCAAGTTTCTGAAAATTATCTATTGGCCATAACACAATTTACATTCGTAGACAATTTAATTACTTGTCATTGCAGGCATAACACTTTTTTGCCAACTTTTTTTCACATTCACTCATTGCATAATCACAGTGTCTGTTCAATCCTGCTTTCATCATTCATTTTTTGACACTTTTCTTTTGGATTTTTTTACACTTATCGCTCTATTTCTGAAGCAAGTCTCACCTTAAGGGCACCAACCAAAACGCTACGAATGGTGCACTGCATTTTTTCTTATTTAATTCCAACCAATTTGTTTGCAATTTAATTCGGCAAAAAATTGTCTTCGATTTTTTCTCACTTTTCGCGGCGGTCGTTCGTCCTAGAGAACGCAGTCAGTGGTGTTGTGTCGTTAACGGCGTTACGGCTATGACTGACAGTCTCAGATAAATGGAAGATAAACATGCATGCATAAAATGGTAGTAATAGGCAAAGTTGTTATTATTTTGTAGAATTATTGACTACCAAGTAGTTATTGCCGGAAATATTAAAGATTTTTATGAATAATAATATAAAATAGCTATATAATAAAAATAATATTAAGTATATTAATGTATTTTGTAATTTTCTGTTAACCTTTAGGACTAAATACTCATATATAATTAAGTAAGATTTTAATAAAAATAATAAAGATTTAACTTTGGACTGCGCCCCGAAATTTTTCTAGAAAAATACAAATTTCCGAGCTTCAGTTTTTTTCTCCTGTGGGGATATGAAACGAAAAACTTTATAAAGGACTGATATGATTTTTTTAAATATATAAATCTTTTAGCTGCCCCAAAGTGCAATTTTTTCTGAGAAATGTTCAATCCGTTTGAAACACTTCGAAATATTCTTCTGAGGCATATTAGTAATTTTAATGTGAAGGAAGAAAAAACTTTTTCAAAACTTTAATTTATATAATTTTTAATTATAAAATAATTTATAATTGCTTTTTTTTTCGTAAATTTACACGATATTTCTATAATACCCACTTCTTATCCCCATCTCTCTCCCTCACACACCAAAATAATATCATATGATTACCCTGTTACTCATGAATTTAACATCACCGCTACTACGCTCTCGCACAACTGTGCCTGGGCCAAAAATGACATTTCGCCATATGCAGGGCAGCCAATATACCAACAAAATGAAAATAGATAATGCTAAAAAGTAAAAAGTTAGAGATCACGGCAGAAATTTGTTAACGAAAAACTCAGTCTAAAACATAAACAAAACAATAGAAAAAAGAAAACAAAAGCCAAAACTGCTACTGGCGACAATTGTGGCTGTAAAGAATCTTATGAATTTCGCAACAATTCTGGCCAAATTGAGTGGAGAAAAGTTTTGTCGTGTCTGCCACAGAAGATACGTATAAAAAAAACCCATTAAAACGCAAGTGAAGGCTACACACAAAAAACTTAAGGCAGTGGTTTGCTTTGAAGGGGGACGACAACAAGCAGCAATAGCAACAGCAAGCAAGCAAGCAGCAGCAAATGAACAGCACTATTGATCCGTTTGTGTAAAACTCTCTTACCTTAGATATTTTTTGTTAAATATTCAATTTATTTCTCGGCAATTGTTTTCCAAAAAAACCAGACGGGCATAAGAAGACGTTCGCGACAGGGTGTTTTCCCACACAGATCCCCTTTTTTTAAACTACTAAAAAAAGGGGTTCCAGCCATACAAATCAAAAACACACGCCACGCAAAATAAGAAAAGAAGAAAAATATATTTTTTTTGTTAAATCTATTTTACACAACGTTGACGTCGACGACACACATAAGGGACCATCATCATGATGAACAATTACAGTAATATGATGATGGGCGGCGAACAGTTTCGCAAAATGGATTCAAACTATTCGCCCAAATCATCGCCACATGGCGGACGATCGCCCGTTGTCTCGCGACAAGACTCATCGGGCACCCTTAAGGCCACAATATCGCTGGGGAAGACGCCAACGATAATACAAACGGGACCATTCTATTCGATGAAAGAACCACCGGGGAAGGGTGAACTGACGGGCGATAAAGATCTCATGACTGAATATGGTTTACATCATACACTAACAAAATTTAAGGATAAGAAAGTCAAAGAATCACTGTCCTCATTTTTGCCCAATCTGCCAGGAATCTACGATGGCATGAATAATTTGGTAAGAATTGCAAATATTCCACTTTTTGTTATATATACTAGATGCTATATGATTTACTAATAATGTATGAATATTTTATTTTATTTGGTGACCTTGAAAAAAAAAGGGAAAGAAATATGTGATTTCTGGAAAAATTATGGATACATACACCTGTTACAAAAGGAATTGATTTAAAACAGGAAGAAATGTTTTCGAAAAGTAATTTGAAGAATGGATTTCGAATTTTTGAAGTTGTTTAGATAATATTGTGAAAAGAATATATTGTGATAAAGGAAAACGATAAAGGAATACACGTGTCGACCCTAATTCTTCCGGCAATTTGTAGCTAAATTCGCAGGTTCAACCAAAATAGAAATGAAGGGTTTAATATCGTGGCATTTTTGCTTAGAGAAGTTCAACCTTTTGGGAACTCAAAATACTTCATAAAATGGGATTTGTTTGGAAATGTTGGCTAGGATTTTCAAAACACCAGCCTTCCATTAAAAGTAGATAAACTTCTTTCCAAGAAAGGCGTTGAAAATACCGAATATAATTATATTAAATTTTACAGAAGTAAAATTCAAAGGATGATGATCGAAGATGGTTGAGATTAGCTGTCCTTGTGGTCAGCATGAAAAGTATTCAGAAATAAAAAAAGAAAGTACATTGACAGACAAGTATGTTAAAGATTTCTGCAAATTCGGATGACATTAACGTAGACTTATTCTAAAGCTATTTAAGACTTTAACTTCGATCTGAAATCGAGGGCATCTCCTAAACTGGTGCTCGACAGTTTCTATAATAATTAAACGTTTCTCGTGTCACAACCTTAAACATTTCTAGTAGAGCTTCCAGCAGAGCTTCTTTTTGAAATAATTGGGCAAACGCCCTCATGTATATAAATAATTGAAGGTATTATGGAGGCATTTTTTTGCTTTGATACCAGAATAATTTTTGTCTTCTCCTCGTGATGGTCCACATGAGCTGGTATGTTGTGGTTAGTAGTTCGGAATTCTCCATTAATAACCTCCGATCACATCTTCATTGCACTGCTAGCTACAGATCGACCTATAATATATGAGGTTCCTTCCAACAATTCTCTGTTTATATTTATTGTTTTATTCAAAAAATACCCAAAAGCAGGCCCTAGAAGAAACGCAATTGTAGGGCATGGATCAAGGATATTAACCAGATTTACCATGGAATTTTATTATTAAAGAGTTATTAAGTTATTTTGCAGAAAAATCCGGGCATTTCATATAGGTTAGGCCAGGTTAGGTTAAAGGACGAGCGGTTGCCGTTTGGTAACCGCTCCTCACGGAGACCTGCTGGTCCATTGTGTTCGTCCTAATGAGGAAAGTGGAAGAATGAAAAAAATGGTTGATAGTTAAAAGGGTGATCTACGGCTAGAAATTTTGCCGTGTCGTCTTTAGCCACTTAAGTCTTCCGACTAATTGAAGAATTACTGTAGGGCCTGTGTTTGAGGACGAAGACAAATCATGTGACACTTGTTCCCTCACCAACCTGTGCTTAACGTTAATGAGTACTGGAGAGTGGCAGAGCAAATGTTCGACCGTCTCAAATCATTCTTCGTCTTGACAGTTCGAGTTCATTGCCCTCACCTTGCAGTGACCTGTTATGATACCCACCACTCAGGTTTCGACAAGGACAGCAGCAACTTTGTTCCCTTCTCCGAGAGTATGGGCCAGATTCTTTTGGAGATGCTCCTTCCCCTTTCGTCCAGCCATTTTTGTTGAATTCTCTCTGAGCAGTGTCTATGAATTACATGTAAGAAGTGACACAGGGGTGGTTTTACCGAGTTCTCAACTACAATGATAGCTTATTCGGACCCTAGCCTAGCCAATTCGTCTACGGTCTCGTTGCCTGGAATATTGTTTTGAACAGGAACCCAACAGAGCTTGATGGACAACCCAGTGTTTCCCAAGGCATTTCATATAACTTTGATGGGTTTGAACTCGTTCTGAAAATGAGAAGAATATCAAATAATCCAATTCAATCCAATTTTTTAAAAATTCTATCGCTTGATACCATTCCGAATGGGTGTTCTGAAGCACCAGTCTCCTATGAGCCTTAGTCACGATGTAGACACACGATGTGGCCATTTATAACGAAACGAGGGTTCGCCGAACGAAACGAGGGTTCGACATTCATACACTTCATCTATCGCTATTATCAGCTGGAACCTTATAAATTCGAACGATAAAATATTTATACGATTTCTGTCAGTGTTATTGTCATATTAATTCTTATCAGTTCTTTGTGGCCGTAACTCTGACAGATATGATGAAAATCTTCAAACTTCATCATTTCCATGACAGTTGGGTTTAGAAACCAGGACAACCCGAGTTATATACGACCAGTTGCTATCACCTTTGCCTCTTCCGCAAAATTCCATGGGTCCTATAAGGAAAAAATAATGAAGGAAATTTAAAATTGCTCTGTTGCAGAAACTGCAAGAATCTACTAGTTTTGCAATTTTCTTCGATATCACAAAGGGCAATTGGTTATCGTAGCAAAAACTTTTACATTCTTGCAGTTCTGTAAAGGAACAATTATGTATTCAGAAATAGTGTAACACTGCAGACATTTTTTCATCTGACTGTTAATTTATTCGCAATTAATTTCTAATAAAAAAATTATGTTTTCGTGTCCTTTTTAATTAATCTGATACTCTCCCACAAAAAAAAAAAAAAAAAAAAAAAAAAAAAAAAAAAAAAAAAACTATTACAAATTTTATAATTCTCCTAACTCCTTCTGTATCAAATGTTGATCCTTTTAACCTGATATTCAATATTTTTTGTTTTGGTATTTCCCTATGCGATATTTTTTCAGCCTTCCATTAAAAATGTTGGTTTTTGATTTTTTGGGTGTCACATAAAAGCCATGGAGATTAACTAATTTGTAAATTAATTTCCCATAAAGTATTTTCTATGTATTTTTTTAATGTTGTTGATTCTTTGGGATCCAATAAAGTTTTTGAGAATAAATCTCATTAAATTCAATTAAACTTGGAATTTGTTTTTTTTTTACTTATATTTTACGCACAGGAAAGTAGTTTTTGAAGGCCTTTTGTTAGGTTATGTTCTTTCAATAGTATTTGAGAATTGTAGATTGAAGTAGTTGGAAGAGTTCCTTCCTATATTCTTTTTCCCTAAAGAGAGGATATATATATCATTTTATACGCCAAAACGTTCATCATCGAAATAACGGTTTTAGACCCTATGTCTCTTTGGAACAAATCCGTTTCAGAAAATTTGGAGTCGATCTAGCTACGTTCGTCCGTCCGTATGTCTGTCTGTCTGGCTAGGTGGTGCACACGATAACTCTCGAAGGGAGAAACCGATTTGGTCCAAACTTGGTACATCTTAATATTATTGTCAAACTTAAATAGAGTTGGGAGATGGGCAATATCAGTCTACTCCTTCTGGAACCACCCCCACAAAATGTCAACATTTTCAAAGAAAATAATTTAATGCACAGAAAGAGAAAGGATAATACGATTTTGTTCCAACTTTGCAAATCCTAAAATTTGGATCAGTGCTATGTCAGGTGCGAAAATGGACAATATTGGCCCACTCCATTAAGTATCTCCCCCACAAAGGGCCATTTTGAATAATTATAACTCTTATAAAATGTGTCTTAAGTGTCAGATTGTCTCCAAATTATACATACCGCAAAAGATGGAATGAATCGGTCCACTCCTTCTGGTACATCCCCCAGAAAGGGTCAAAATTTTGAATATACATGACGCCCATATAATACAAAATTAACATCCGATTCCTTTCAGACATGGCACACCACAATATTTCCATAAACAAAAGATCTGTTATAAAGATGGTAGAGATCGGACCATTTCTTCTGGTACCTCCCCCACAAAGGGTCAAAATTTTGAATATTCTTGAAGCTCATAAAACACGAAATTAACATTCGATTCCATTTAGACTTGGCCCATCTCAATATTTCCATCAACATGAGATCTGTTATAAAGGTGACAGAGATCGGACCATTCCTTCTGGTACATCCCTCTCAAAGGGTCAAAGTTTTGAATAACGAAAACGATCTTTAAATCCGAAATATGCATCCGTTTCTCTTTAAATTACACACATCACAATATATTCATAAAACCAAGGTCTGGTGTGAAGATGGAATAAATCGGTCCACTCTTTCTGGTACCTCCCCCCACAAAGGGTCAAAATTTTGAATATTCTGAAGCTCATAAAACGCAAAATTAACACCCGATTCCATTTAGACTTAGCACATCTCAATATTTCCATCAACATGAGATCTGTTATAAAGATGGTAGAGATCGGATCATTCCTCCTGGTACATTTCCCACAAAGGATCAAAGCTTTGAATAACGAAAACGATCATAAAATCCGATATATGCATCCATTTCTCTTCAAATTGCACACATCACAATATTTTTATTAAACCAATGTCTGGTGTAAAGATAGAATATATCGGTCCACTCCTTCAGGTACCTCCCACATAAAGGGTCAATATTTCTAGTATTCATGAAGCTCTTAAAACACGAAATTAACATCTGATTCCATTCAGACTTGGAACTTATCAATATTTTCATAAATAAAATATCTGTTATAAAGATGGTAGATATCGGATCATTCCTCCTAGTACCTCCCCCACAAAGGGTCAAAGTTTTGGAAAACCAAAACGATCATAAAATCCGATCCATCCATCATCCATTTCTCTTCAAGTTACACATATCACATATTTTTATTAAACCAAGGTCTGGTGTGAAATTGGGATATATCGGTCCACTCCTTCAGGGACCTCCCACATAAAGGGTCAATAGCCGATGCTGTTCAAATCTGGAACGTTGCAATATTTTTATCAGTTTTAGGTCAGATACAAATTGGTCAATATTGACCAACTGCTTTGGAACCTCACCTATAAAGGGTCAACAGTTTGAATAATAATTACTCAAGGCTCGGGTTATAAATCTGTCGGCAAAGGAATTCTGACTTCAAAAAATTCAATCCCTTTCCACCCCTGCCACATGCAATTGGGAAGGCTATGATGTCAATTTTCCAACAAAAATAGAGACGAACTTTTGTCACACCCTATACAACCGCCGAACAACTCTTAGGCAATATCAACTATTTACAATACAAAAAAAAAGATCCCAACAACAAATACAAAAAGCCCAAAAATAACACACGTCGACAAGAAATATATCAAAAACAAAAACTTGTGGGCTATTACAACAAACAGAAGACACGTGCTGCAGCAAAAAGCGTGAAGAGAGAGACAGAGGAAAAAAGTGAAAGTAAAAGAAAAATCAAAAACAATTTGTAATTATTTTGCTTTTTTTTCTCTCTTTATGGCAGAAGATTTTTAGTTTCAGTATTAAATTATTTTCCGATTAGAAATTCTGGCTGTTATCATGTAAACGTGACATAATGCGGTATTATTAAATATTTGTTTGCTATCTTTTGTTTGCAGAGCGACATGCATAAATCGACTCAGAATGTGATTCTACTATGCAGATCTTCAAAATGAACTATGGGTCCATCTCGTTTCCTTTTGCCTGTTACAAACAAATGCCCAAAGGCATAATACCCTGACCACCCCAAGGTCCTTTCTTGTTATATTACGGCGGTTATGCCAAAACACGATGAAGTTCTCTAAGCATTGGAAATTTGAAATGGCAAAATGGAAAAGATTATACATCTTGCTTGCGATAAATTTCAAAGGTTTTATGGTTGAAAAAAGTCCCTCGAAATGTTCACCATTTTATTAGGGTTTAGAAAGGCCTCATAGCCTTAAACTGCAAGACAATTAAATGGAATTATCCACAAATTTCATCTGCTCATTCAAATCGTAATTAGGGTATTCATTTATATTAGGTTATAGGAGTTTCCATCATTTAAAATTGTTAAAAATAACACAAACTTGTTTAGAACTCCATGTTCTATTTGATTTTGTGCAATTCAGTGCAAAATTAAAAAAATAATTTTCCTTACCAAAAATAAATAAAATCGTCAAAAAAAAAACAGCCCCGACAATAGAATCATGTTTCTCTGAATTAGATACCTAAACCAACAAGTTGATCGACCTTGACCTCAAAACTGCTGTTTCCACTTCAATGTGAATTTAATAAGCTAAATTTTTTGAAGCACGTGTTGTGAACAAGTCAGCTCACTAAACGTGTTTTTTCGATACTTTTTTAATTGGAATATTTTGAATTGAAAATGCAACAAATAATTATGAGAGGAATAGTTGCCAGAATACGGTTACAAAAAATTAAAAAAAAATTCAAGCGGTCTTCTAGACGGACAGCATCGTCTAAAAAGAAAAAGCTGTCAAGGAGAAGATTACATAGTGGGGAACAAGCTATTCTAACAGCACTTGGGGAGCTGATAAAAGATGGGTCTGCTTACCCCAAAAATTTGTAACAATTGTCGCAAATTTTTACTGGAAGTCGTCTACATATCAACGCAGGAGTTCTGCCAAAGAGCGGTTCGAGAGAGATATTGCGATAGTTCTTTTGCTGAGAGTTTGCAAGTTCTTGCTGGACATATTTCTTCTTTCAATCACCTGCAACTCTTCGTTTCCCTTTTTATTTTGGAAATCGCAACCCTATTTCTTTTTTGATTTTCGACGAATTTTTATTTTTACGAGTTTCATTTTTATTTATGGCGGAATTTTTATACCCTGCACCATAAAGTGGTCAGGGTATTACTTCTTTGTGCATTTGTTTGTAACAGACAAATGGAAGCGAGATAGACCCATAGTTCCTGTTGATGATCTGCCTAGAATCACATTCTGAGTCGATTTATGCATGTCCGTCCGTCTGTCTGTCCATGTACTTTTGTAAACAAATTACAGATCGTATTTATTGCCCGATCCGGATGAAATTTTGTACAAGTCATTTGTTTGACCCAAGGACGAACTCCATTGAAATTTGAGATAATCGGTCAAAATTTAGATATAGGTCCCATATATATCTTCGACCCTCTTGCCCTTAATTATGCATCAAACGTGTAATATCAGCCCAAATAGTATCGAATTTTACATACACGACCAAATAAGTATGCCAAATTTGATCGAAATCGGTTCAGATATGGCTATATATCCCATATATTTTGCCCATTCGATTTGATATGTTTGTCCTCCGCAAGGGTAATATGCACTCTGTAACAACGATATTTGAGGAAATATATCAAATACAGCACAGAAACACATTTCCCAAATTTTATCGAGATCGGTTCAGATTTGAATATAGCTCCCGTCGATCTTCGTCGATTTTCGTCGGTATTTTGATGATTGTAGCCAAATTTTTGTGTAGAATTGTCTGAGAATCCACACCATGTGTTGCTTCTCAATACTTCACCCACTGGAGGAAAATTGTCTATATTGGTCCACGATTCGGTGCGACAGCATTATAAAATATTATCATTGCAATACCATCCTAATCATTAGCTAGTGGATAGGCAACCTCCTTTCAGACACGTAGGGAAAGTCCTTCATGATCTAAAGAAAGAGAGCGAGATTGAGAGAGGTACAGAGGTATAATAGGGAACCTCTAGAACAACAGGCCTATTCACTGCGATGCGGTCACAAAAGTCATTGACCATGTGTCTGCCATCGCAGCTGAAGGGCGAGCGGCCCCGACAAGTACAATTCATGATCTAAAGAAAGAGAGAGAGAGAGAGAGAGAGAGTGAGAGAGATACAGAGGTATAATAGAGGGCCTCTGGATCAACAGGCCTATTCACTCTGATGCGGTCACAAAAGTCATGGACCCCGTCTCTGCCATCGTAGCTGAAGGGCGAGCTGCCCCGACAAGTACAATTCGCTGCACCACTTTAATTGCCCTGCCAAATCTGCCCTACTCACTGCAGAAGATCTATGGTTACCAAATCTGTCCCACTCACTGCAGAAGATCTATGGTTACAGCCCGTAAAATTAGCCGAACTTTTGAACCTGGAGTTAGAACCGGTTTAGCAGAATTCGAAAAAGAAAACTTATAAAGCTGTTACGACAACAACAACAAACCCGATTATTATTGTCACAATGACACGCTGCACCTTTTTCACTGCCCAGCCAACCCTACTCCCCTTAACCCGATTTCGTTATGGACTCAACCTATTGCATCCTTTTTGAGGTTGGACTTAGAAGAAGAATCACAGGATCACAGAATCAGGTTGAGAAGAATCATAATGGACACAGCAGTAGAATCTGCTACAACAACAACAACCATCCGACAAAACCGAGTAGTTTTGTCTCAATTAAGATCCAAAAGGTGTAGCCGCCTCAATTCCCATTGGGCCCGGATTGACAACGATGTGCAGAACATCTGCCCAGCTTGTGGCACATGTCCACATGACACGCTGCACCTATTTCGCTGCCCAGCCAAACCTACTCACCTAACTCCTGTATCGTTTTGGACCCAACCCGTACAGGTTGCATCCATTTTGAGATTGGATTTAGAAGCAGAATCCGATTGAATGGAGTCAGAAAATGGAAACAGAACGAACACATCTGTATGAGATGCTGCAACAACAACAATCAACGGAAATCCCTAGTAGTTTTGACTTAGTTGAGATCCGAATGGTGCAGCCACCTCAATTCCTATTGAGCCCGGATTGACAGCGATGTGCAGAATATCTGCCCAGCTTGTGACACAGGTCCACATGCCAGGCTACACCTATTTCGCTGCCCTGCCAAACCTACTCACCTAACTCCATTATCGTTGTGGACCCAACCCGTACAAGTTGCATACTTTTTGAGACTGGGTTTAGAGGCAGAACCCGATTGAGAAGAGTCAGAAAATGGAAACAAAACGAACACAGCTGTATGAGCTGCTACAACAACAACAAGCAACCGAAAACCCGAGTAGTTTTGGCTCTGTTAAGATCCGGATGGTGCAGCCACCTCAATTCCTATTGGTCCCGGATTGACAGCAATGTGCAGAACATCTGCCCAGCTTGAGGCACAGGTCCACATGACACGCTGCACCTAATTCGCTACCAAGTCAAACCTACTCACCTAACTCCTGTATCGTTGTTTACCCAACCCGTACAGGTTGCATCCTTTTTGAGACTGGGTTTAGAGGCAGAACCAGATTGAATGGAATCAGAAAGGACGCAGCACTATGAGCTGCTATAACAACAACCAACTCGCTGAAATTATTATAATTTTCTGAAGCGTATTTTATTTTTTAATAATTTATCTATTCGGAGGTTATTTTAAATTTTGATTTTTTTTTTAATATTTTGTCCCAAGTACCCTTACAAACCGCTTGTCAACTATCGCAGATAACCTCACAAAAGTAACAATCACATATCTAATCGAAAGGGTCTTCTCTTACCCTAACACCATATGTATCAGAATTATTTTGTCCATTGGTTCTGACTATAAAATAAAAGCTTGTGAGGGTATAAAAGTATCAATCACAGATCTCATCGAATGAAATGGTCTTCTCTTACCCTAACAACATAGGTAGTTTCTAGATTTGTTGGTCAGGAAATTTATACAGGTCTTGTCTAGCGATTCCATTTTTTTCGATGAGCCTCTAGAAAAATTTGATCCAGAATAATTTTCCCTATTCCATTTTTAGACTCCCTAAAATAAAATTGACAATTTTTAAAAATAATACAATTTTATCTCCCAAAAGAATTTATTTCAAGAGAATCACATATTTCTTTATAAATCCTAAATTTCCTTTAGTTAACCTCTCTTCCATTCCCTTCTTTTTGCATTACAGGAAAACAGTACATTACGCAGTGTCATTGATAAACCCCCCATAGGAGGTAAAGAGCTATTGCCTTTAACCTCAGTACAATTAGCTGGTTTCAGATTACATCCCGGACCGGTAAGTGTTATTTGTGGAATACTTTGACAACGTTTGATTGGTTTGGTATTAATTTTCCCTTGTCTCTTGCAGTTACCGGAACAGTATAGAGCCTTCAATACAATCCCCGCACGCAAACATAAAAACAAACATAAAAAACATAAACACAAAGATGGCCAACAGCCGCCCGAAACAAATCTAATGGGTGAGTTGGGGTTTGGGGTGGAGTGCAAAATCTCCCCAATTGCCGCCGGGGCATAATTGAAGTGACAACTATCATATATTTTAATTATTTTTGTTGTTGCTTTGATTTCATTGGAAACCTACTCACTCACACACAATCCTCTTACAGATTCTTCCGGTTTAGAGACTTATGAGAAAAAACACAAAAAACAAAAACGCCACGAGGACGAGAAAGAGCGAAAAAAGCGCAAAAAGGAAAAGAAACGCAAAAAGAAATCTCACAGTCCGGAGCCACCATCGTCGGGCGGGGTGTCGCCCATGCTGGGTGGTGGCTCACAGATTCCGGGTGTTGGCGGTATGATGATGGGCGGTCCATCGTCGATGTCAGCGATGCAGGGTGGTGCCGTTGGCATGGGTAGTAGCCTTCAGGGCCTGGCGACGGGTCCAAACAATCCGCTGGGGCCTGGTTCAGGTGTCACAAATATGTCAGGCCCTGGTGGTATGATGATGCCTCAACATGCTTCTTTATTTTAGTTTAAATTTTTTTTATTTTAATTTTAAACAAATTAAGTCATGTTTTATGATTTTTTTTTAGGTTGAAATTCTATTTTTTTGTTTACCAAAAAAAAAGGAAAACAGAAAAGCAAAAAGAAGAAGAAGAATAACTATTATACAATTGTCAATATATTTACCCAAATCCCCACTTGAATAAGAATTTTTTTAGTTTTCCCCCCTTTTTAATGTTTATCAAATCCCTTACTCCCCACACCTTCGCCCCCTGGTCGTCCCTTCTCAGAGATACTGTGTATGTTAATATGGTATTAAGCTGGAAACACAGTCAATTTGTCATTCCCAAAGTTGTTTAGATTATTTCCTAAATCCCAAAATCTCACTCCAAAAATCCCCCGCCTTCCTTGTGGTTCCCTTTCAACACTTTGCTCCCAAGAATTTTTAGAATACAAATGCTAAACAAAAGAAAAGATCTTCCATCATGTGTTGTTTATTTAGAATTTACTACCTCCCCCACCCCCCTCTTTAACTAATTTAATAGTCTCCCCCTCACATTTAATCAACTGCCTAGTAGTTTTTGTTTTTTTTTTATTAATTTTTATTAGGTTTTTTTTTTCTTTCAATCCTCCCCCAAAAACCTTTTCGCCTGCCTTCCTTGGCTCCTTGTTTTCACAAGTTTTAGTTATCCACTTTTTTTTATTAAATAAAAATTGTAATATTTTTTCTTTTGCTTTCAAAAACTTTAGCAATTAAGGTTTAATAAACACACTTTTTTATGAAAAAAATTTATTATTAAAAAACAAAACAAAAATACAAAAAATATATTATTTAGTTATTTAAGAGTTGTATGCAAAACAAAACAAACAAACAAAAAAAAAAAGAAAATAATGATAATTAGAAATTTAACAGAAGGAAAAGAAAAAACAAGCAAAAAACAAAACAAACAAAAAAAATCAAATAATAAATTAAATTTATAAAAAAAATGCAAAAAAACTGATTTGTTTTTACTGAGGACGTAGCGCAATGCATTCACAACATCTTCCTAGAATGAGCAACATTACCCAAAAAAGAAGCAATCTTTTTATATAACCAATTTGAAATTTATATTTAAAAGTGGTGCACTCGAACCGGTTTTATTAAACCAGTAAATACGGCCTTGGAAAGGTCATATAATAGATTACAGTAATGAGCGATGTGGTCGCTAACAAATAATTTATTTCAGCCAAAAAAGACGAAAATGTTTCAATCAGGAGGGATAATTATATTGTAACTTGCACTCTAGCATTTACCAGATGCCTTGTCGTAATATATTTCTTGGATCCAAATATATTAACCTTAGAACCTTTATATTTCCACCTGTAGTCTTCAATTGAAAACGAACCTAGCATAAACTAAACTCCACAAAAGCCATTCTTTTGAAGAAAATACTCTTCCAGTATTTAGTATAGCTTAAAGTTAAGTAATAAGCAGTTAATTAATATAAATATTCTTCATACAGTTTGATCGTCTCCGGCAATCATCAGGGAATTTTGCATTTAAGAACTTAATGTACTTTGAAAAATGAAAATTAACCAAAATCACTCTCAGAATAATGTTTATATTATTTTGTATTTTATTGAACATTTATTATTATGGTATTTTATTTATATTCTTAATTTTTTGTTATAAATTTGAATTTAAAATTGGCCCTTTAACACAATTTCCATGTCTGCAATGCTAAACGTGGTGTCACTTCCCGGTGAATGCATTGGGGGTTACAGCAATTGAACGAAACTTTCAAAGTACATTTCATTTCATTAAGTTATCAAAATATTTAGCAACATATTATTACATTTTAATATTTAATCAATATGCCATAATTTTTGTTATTAATTTAAATAAAAAATCTTTAAATAAAAAAAATCACTATAACCAACTCTTTCAAACTCTCACCAAGCGAAAAAGTTCTCACAATATTTATTCATAATGATTATATCATTAATTATATTATTATTATATGTATAATATTCTCCAATTTTTATTATTAAATTATATTAAACAATTTATTCAAAATAACAACCAACATGCCGTGCAATAGGGGTTTCAAAAAATAAGAAACTTTCAAAGTTATGCTCTCTTGTGTTTAAAAGTAATCAACATTTTTTCTTTATAGATCAGTTATTATATTAAATTCTGTTTTACAAATTTAATTATTAAGTAAAGCTTAAAACAATCTCTTCATTAATAGCAATCATTTTCCTTCTCCACTGTAAACAATTCTTCCCACCACCCTCCGAACAGCTGTTTTTCACGTCATCATTTCCCAATGAATGCAATGGGGGTTGTAGCAACAAGAAGCAGCTTTGCGATGTTTTCAAGAGAGAAAGAGAAACAATTCTCTTTTTTCATAACCCATTCAACCCATTGACAGTTAGTCCAACTTTTATCCCCCTTTCTAATAGCAATCCACAACAGCTAAATTCTTTATTAATATAATAATAGAAAAACAATCTATTAGTTATTTACTGTAAGTGTTTCCACTTAGTGGTGTGTTAATGTCTGCTGCTGGATTGTTTTAAGTTAGTAAACAGCGAGAATAACATCGAAAAATGTTCAAACAAAGTGCTACTAAACTTTTGGAACTCAACGAGGAGAAGGTGAAGGAATGGCTAGAATCATTCGATGCAGTCATAACAGATTGTGATGGTAATTGTGAATTAAAACATTTCCGAAATGGAAATTTAATTAGCTTATAATTTAATATATTTTTTAGGTAATTGCATAAGTTTAGGGAAGAAGTGTGCAAATTTGTTATGGTTTGTTTTTTTTTTCTCTGGTGTGTACATGAGAAATTGAAAACGTGTGGGAGTATGTGTGAGTGAATGTTGCGTAGCACGAGTATACAGCTGTAAATTTGTTTCATTGTTGCCTGGTTTGATAATGACCTTTAACGTCATTTACACTTGGGACATGCTATAGCCGGCATAGACAACATGAAACAATTACTTTTTCAGAGAAATATTTAAGAAAACAAATAATTCGGCATGGAAATCGATTTGTTAAAAGGTCGTCTTAATTCTAACTGGAAAAACTCTCGGATTTTTTTTTTTTTTTTTGAAAAATTAATTTTTACTAAAAATTTGCTGGAGGTGACTTTGCCGTAGAAAATTAGAAGTGAAATTTATATTCCTATCGACGAGACCAATTTTCTACAGAAATTTTTTTCGAGTTTTCACCTGTTTTTTTTATTATTTTTTTGTTTGTTTTCCAGGCGTCCTTTGGGTCTATGGAGATGTCATACCCGGCTCCGTAGACGTTATGAATCGTTTCAAGGATATTGGCAAAAAGATATTCTTCTGTACCAACAATTCAACGAAAACTCGCAAAGAATTGCTGACAAAATCCAAAAATATGGGCTTCAACATAACCGAAGATGAAGTTATCTCCACAGCCAACTCACTGGCTGCCTACCTCAAGGCTCGCAATTTCAATAAAAAAGCCTATGTTATTGGTTCGGAAGGTATTACCAAAGAATTGGATGCCGTTGGCATTGATCACAATAAAGTGGGACCTGAACATATGCCGGGTTCATTGTTGCAATATCTATCAAATAATTTTGAATTGGAAGAAGATATTGGTGCTGTTCTGGTGGGATTTGATGAGTATTTTTCCTTTCCCAAAATGACAAAGGCGGCCTCATATCTCAGTCGGCCAGAGTGTCTGTTCATTGCCACAAATACAGATGAACGTTTTCCCATGCCAAATATGGTTGTGCCTGGAACGGGAAGTTTTGTGCGGGCCATTGAAACTTGTGCCGAACGTAAGGCCACAGTGATTGGAAAACCAAATGTTGCCATGTGTGATCATCTTATCAATAATGGTACCGTAGTGCCGGAAAGAACTCTCATGATTGGCGATAGGTGAGTAATAGTTTGTTTATTTTCCCAAGTCTCAAAGATTACAAAACGGAGATAATAATTTATTATCTTTTTTATTCATATATTTATAGGTGTAACACGGACATACTGTTGGGCTATAACTGTGGTTTTCAAACTCTGCTGGTCGGCAGTGGTATACATCAGCTAAATGATGTAGATTCGTGGAAAGCATCGAATGATCCGGAATTACATAAATTGATACCGGATGTGTATTTGCCCAAACTAGGAGATTTATTAGCCTACATGTGAAATTATCATTGTTTTAGTTTATCATAGCCATAGACGCATCTATTTTCTATTCATTATTACATCTTTTTCTATTAATTACCTTTAAGTATCATAACATATTCTGTGTAATGCCTATTTATTGGGTTTTCAGGGAAAACCCAGTTCAAAGCTTTTATTAATTTGTAGTTTGTGTTTGTTACAATGAGATTTGAGAAAGAAAAACAAGACAAAGAGAATATTGTAATAAAATTGTAAACACATTGTGAAAAGAAAATGGTAGACTTTTAACTCCACATTCCTGGCAGGCTAATATACACACTTATAAAGTGTTGCTGCATTTTACCATAAAATGCCGCAAAGATCCATATAAAATGAAGTACATGCCATATTTTAAAATTTAAAGTAATAACTTAGCCTGCTGAAGGAATCCTCAAACGGTTTCCCCATCCCATCCTCTTTTTAGCAGTTAAGAAAATTGCACTCACTCGGAAGTAATAACACCAAGTAATGATGTGAAGAAAAACTAAATAGAATTGGTTACTCATTTAAAAAATGTTATTGCCAATTTGTTATAAAATTTTTCAGTGGGTCCCACACTTTTTTTATAAAAAATCGAAATTTTATCCACTTATTATCATAATTTTTAAAATGTAGTCAAGGGCTTCAGCAGTTGGGCAAAGAAACACTCATACAGAATTGATAACACCAAGTGATAAAACAAAGATGAAATTGCTTGTTTTTAAAATACATTGTTGTCAATAAACTGACAGAGCCACCATAAATAAGCCCTCCTTGTATTTGACAGTGGTTCTCACAAACTCTTCATTATTCATCGAAAAATTTCCTCTATTTTAAAAAAAAGAAAAAAAGTATCCGAAACTGTTTAGCAGTTGAGCAGAGTTATACTCACTCGGAATTGATAACAACAGAATAGGCGATGAAGCAATGGAATGATAACTCATATGCTGTGCCTTTTTGATGTGAGGTTTGAGAGAAACACATATTCTTTATATAAAAAAATACTTTTCCTCTACTTTTATAAAAACTTGAAAACGTGCATATAGCTAAAAATCATAAAATGATACTTTGCTACAGATGTTGTTGGGCTGGATTTATGCTTTTTCCTTATTTTGTGTTCTGAGAAAAAGTTTAGCTGAATATGTAAGCGAACAGACCTGCTTTAACAGCTGATCCCAAAAAGCATGTCGGCATTCACCTTGCATTAATAACACAGTGTTTTATTTTAGTTTGGACCGGCATTGCTGTGATACCTTCACGTTTTTGTTTACGGAACATTACAATTGGAGTGAAAAATGCTACCATTATCCCTGCTAAAGGCTGCCCAGAGTCATCCCATGTTGGTGGAACTTAAAAATGGCGAAACCTACAATGGACATTTGGTAAGCTGCGACTCATGGATGAACATCAATCTGCGTGATGTTATTTGCACATCAAAGGATGGCGACCGGTTCTGGCGTATGCCTGAATGCTATATACGAGGTAGCACCATCAAATATCTCCGTATACCGGACGAAGTCATCGATATGGTTAAGGAAGATGCCTTGGCAAAGGTACGAAATCGCACCGAAATGAACAAAGGCCGTGCGGGTGGAGGAGGTCAGGGAAATGTCCAAAATCAGAATCAACGTAATCGTGGAGGAAATCGTAACAACAGCAATAATCGGAATATGCAGGGTTCAGCATCTGCCTCGGGTGGTGTTCGACAATTTTCACAAAACAATCGTTCAGCTATGCAGCAAAATAAACTTGGGAAATAAATTATGGAATTTTTAACAAAATAACTGGATTAATTTATTTACATTTTCATTGGTATTTAGACGCTCGTTGCTCTTAGTCATGGGGACATTTGTCTTCTATCAATTCTATTATTTTATGGACAATTAATTTAACGAGACTTGTAAATTTTTGTTTAACTTCCAAAGCATTTCCTTATTCTCAATCAAGATGTTGAATTGTACATTAAACGTTTAATATTTGTTGTTGTTTTTATGTGAAAGCGGGAATGAGGAAGGGGTAAATTACTTTCCTTTCTCGTTGTCTAGCAAAGATGTAAACAAACCACTCACCTTGCATTAACGACTTTTGACACTAACATTAAGAAGAAGCAATTCTAATTGATAACAGTTTTCTAAACTGATTGTTTGATTGAGAACCCCTTGAACATGACATTGGTCGTACTCTCACTCTCTTCTTAATCTTCCGTATGTGAGAGCTGCGTGTTTATCAAATAAAAACATGATCATGATCATTTAGGAGTCTAAGTGGAAGAAGTGTCATTTTAAACAAAATTTGTAACACAAAAATAGAGGAATATATTTATTAAAATTGCTAACTTTTAGTTGAACAAATTAAACAATGGCAACAATAAATTTAAATCAAATTAACGATAAACAAATACCCAAGAATTGGTTGGATTCCTACGATACCATATTCACGGACTGCGATTGTAAGTAAAGGAATAGGGTTACCAAGTGTCCTTACGATATGGATTTAAAGGGCTTAAATGATAGAATTCCTTTGATTTCAGCTGTTATCTGGCAGGATGACAAGGTTATTGAGGGAACCCCCGAAACCATCAATGATTTGCAGGATATGGGTAAAAAGGTTTATTTTGTTACGAATAATAGCACCAAAACCCGTGCCCAGTTGTGTGAAAAAGCTCGAGGCATGAATTTCAAGGTGGAGGAACATCAAATAATTGCCCCCACCTATTCCATTGCGGAATATTTAAAATTACACTTGAGTCCAGAAGAAAAAGTGTATATAGTTGGTAGCCCCGCCATGGGTAGAGAATTGGATACATTGCATATAAAACATTTTGGTTTGGGTCCAGATGAAGTGGAACCCAATTGGGTTTCCATCCTTCCCGAGGTTGATCAGCAAACCAAAGAGGAGAATATTGCAGCGGTATTAGTGGGTTTCGATGAACATTTTAGTTATAATAAAATGATAAAGGCCTGCAATTATTTGGGTCAAAATGAGAAATGTCTATTTTTGGCAACAAATGCAGATGCAGTTTCGAAGTTCCCCCAGTACAGCATTCCTGGTACGGGCGCTATATTGAGGGCCATTGAGGCTTGCGTGGGACGTGAGGCCGAAGTGATGGGAAAACCAAATCCTTTGGTCTGTGAACATTTGCTGAAATCTGGGCAAGTTGATGCCAAGAGGACACTTATGATTGGTGATTGGTAGGTGGCCAGTTTCTTTCATATTTTTTTTTCAAAACTCTAATATTTTTTTCATTTTTTTGCAGCTACAAAACGGATATCCTGTTTGGCAAGAATTGTGGATTTTCCACACTTCTGGTGGGGACGGGACGTTATAAGTGGTTACACGTTGAAAAAATGCTTAAAGAAGATGGTTCTAAGGATTACCTACCCGACTTTTTTGCATCATCTTTGGCTGATTTAAGGGCTTACCTTTGAGTCGGAATTCAATTGAAAAACAAAATATTTCTAAATAGTACAGTAGCGGTTTTTATTGTTTTTTTTTTTAAATTAATATTAACCTAAATTAATACTTAAAAGAAAGACCAATAACCAATACCACATACCAACAACTACAATTCCAGAAGAAACATTCCAAAACGATGTACTCCTCTTACATACTTGGCCTTCAATTATTTATATTTAAAATATATATTTTTCAATTTTTTAAATTTATATTTGATGTGAAAATATTTTTGATTTTTAGAATTCTATCAGGATTTTTGTTTGCAAGGATACGGATTGGTTAAACAGCTAATCAAGGTCAAAAATAACATAATCTTATGAATATAATTTAAAATTACATATTCCCTTTCCCCGGGAAAAGGATCATCCTCATATTTTAGCGCTGTTTTTGTTAATTTAATGCAAATGCTTTTGGCAATTTAGGTAGAAGAAATCATAATTGTATCACAAATTATTAGCAGAAGCGAAATGATTTTTTTTAATTTGTTACAGTTTTTTTCTTAGTTTCTATCCTCCCCTCATCATTCACTTCCATCTCTCACCATTTAACCAATATTGTTCCCCAACATGAAATTTTGATTTCGATTTATTCCCTTCTGCTTCTTTGTTTTGATTTCTTCTCGCGCTAACGTGTCTAAATTGCCAAAAGGTAACATCAGGTGGTCGAATTACTGTGCGCCAATATCCTGGAGCTGCGCGACAAATAGCCATACCAGTAGAACACATTGATGAGCAGAAATAGAATGGGGAAAACAATGCGAGAGGCTCGATCGATTTTCGACACGGAATTATATTGTGGCGTTCGTTTGCCCTTGCGACGGGCATCCAACTCTTCGCGGCGATAGTAGGACATACGACGGCGGCCGGAATATTTTTTGGGTGTAACATCTGGGAAAGAAAAAAAAACAGAATGAATTGTATAACAGTTTTCAATGAAGAAAGTAAGAGAAAAGTTCTGTATAACAGTTTTCCGTGTTGTATAACAGTTTTCTATATAGGAAAAGCATTGTATAACAGTTTTCCGTGTAGGAAAAGTGTTGTATAACAGTTTTCCGTATAGGAAAAATGTTGTATAACAGTTTTCCGTATAGGAAAAATGTTGTATAACAGTTTTCCGAATAGGAAAAATGTTTTATAACAGTTTTCCGTATGAGAAAAATGTTGTATAACAGTTTTTCGTATAGGAAAAATGTTGTATAACAGTTTTCCGAATAGGAAAAATGTCGTATAACAGTTTTCCGAATAGGAAAAATGTCGTATAACAGTTTTCCGAATAGGAAAAATGTGGTATAACAGTTTTCCGTATAGGAGAAATGTCGTATAACAGTTTTCCGAATAGGAAAAATGTCGTATAACAGTTCTCCGTATAGGAGAAATGTTGTATAACAGTTTTCCGTATAGGAAAAATGTTGTATAACACTTTTCCGTATAGGAAAAATGTTGTATAACAGTTTTCCGTATAGGAAAAATGTTGTATAACACTTTTCCGTACAGGAAAAATGTTGTATAACACTTTTCCGTACAGGAAAAATGTTGTATAACACTTTTCTGTATAGGAAAAATGTTGTATAACACTTTTCCGTATAGGAAAAATGGTGTATAACACTTTTCTGTATAGGAAAAATGTTGTATAACACTTTTCCGTATAGGAAAAATGGTGTATAACACTTTTCCGCATAGGAAAATGTTGTATAACACTTTTCCGCATAGGAAAAATGTTGTATAACACTTTTCCGTATAGGAAAAATGTTGTATAACACTTTTCCGTTTAGGAAAAATGTTGTATAACACTTTTCCAAAATAGGAAACGTTTTGTATAACACTTTTCCGTATAGGAAACGTTTTGTATAACACTTTTCCGTATTGGAATTAATATAGAAAGATATTCCAACTTACCCTCATGTGCCCTCAAGTGAATCTCCTCACCATCTTCATCGGATGAACCAAAATGTGCTTTATGCCTGCCACGCTTCTGGCGGCAACCCAACCATGACTGCACTTGATTCCAACAATTCCACCAGGCCGATTGACGACGATACTTCCTCTCTCGAGATCGTCGATTTTTCATTGATGAACCCCCCTTGGGTATGTTGATGGAACACATCGAAAGCGGTATAACTTCATAGATTTTCGTTTCCGTACTGCTATTGGTATCCTCATATTCAGGAGTCATTCCCAGTTTATGGGTTTGCCGTACTGCACTCTCCGTCTCCGTGTCTGAATCCAATTCTTCGATGATAAAATAACATTCTCCCGAACCGTATTTCGTGAAGTAATGGACAACGGCAAACTGAAGAATTGTGGCAAAGATGAAGGCAAACGAGAGGAAAACAAAGAAATCCAATGCCGTGGGATAGGGAACCTTGGGCAGATCGGTGCGGGCCTCCAGGCCTAGGAAAGTCATGGTGAGCACTGTTGTTATTCCCAGCGATACCCGGTCTGCTGTGGCTTCACGATTTAACCAAAATGATACCCAGGAAAGGACCACCAATAGGCAACATGGTCCATAGACTTGGATGAGGAAATTTCCCATGTGACGCTGCAGATGAAAGTTCACCATCAACATGGAGTATTCGGCTGGAAAAAAGGGAGAAAAACAAAATGTTAAATTACTAAATGATGGCCTGAAAGTATGCTTTAGATTTTTCTTTTTATAATCCACACACACTATGATATCATCGGCGATGCTACATGGAAGCCCAGTAGACCTATCCATTAATCAATTTCTCCAATTAGCCAAATTGATTTCCATAATCACTTTAAGTTGCCAATAACATTTTCACGGCAACACTTCTTTTACCTGTCTGAGCGACCGGCCCCAGTCGTTTATCTATCACTTTTGCCCATGACCATTCTTGCATCGTTGCAGGCATGCATGGATGATAGGCTGTGGTGTGTGTTGGCTTTCGAAGGCAAAGTGAAGAGGTCAGGTGACACATAGTAGTCAACCAATGCCGGCGATGGCTAACCGAACTACCCGTCAACCAAACCAAACCGAACCGAACATCGTAGAATTTAAATGACCTTAATTGATGTGAAAAATCATAATTGTTATAATGATGTTGTGGCGTTAATGATGACGATAATGACAATAAAGAAGGTCCAACAGCCAGCCCAACAGCCAACCGAACAGCCATCGAGCCAACCATTTGTTGGTAAGGATGTGGCCGATTGGTCGTGAACAAAAGTAAAATTGATTTCATGCAAATTTCCTCTCCTAATTATCATGTAAATGGTCATGTCCATGTAATGTCATCGTTGTTGTTCAATTGAACAGAGGACCGGCCCATTGAATACTGAGTATAACACTTAAAGGCAAACAATTGATACATTCGATTTATTGGCCAGGGGTGGGGTATTTATATTCATATTAATGTTTAAAGGCAGTTTGCCACAAGAGGAGCATGGAAATCTTTTCCGTGCATGGTGTAAGACAAAATTTAAAATTTTGAAAACTGTTATACAAGTATTTATATTGCTCGTGAAAACTGTTATACAGTGGATAAGCACAAACTGTAATACGAACTGTTATACAAAACTGTTATACAAAACTGTTATACAAGCTGTTATACAAACGGTTATACAACTGTTATACTAACTGTTATACTAACTGTTATACTAACTGTTATACTAACTGTTATACAAACTGTTATACAAACTGATATACACATACAAGCTGTTATACAACTGTTACGCAAACTGTTATAAAACCGTTATACAACTGTTATACAAACTGTTATACAAAACTGTTACACAAACTGTTATATAACTGTAATACAAAACTGTTATACAAACTGTTATACAAATTGTTATACAAATTGTTATACAAATTGTTATACAAACTGCTATACAAACTGTTATACAAAATATTATACAACTGTTATGCCACTATTAAAAACTGTTATACAAAACTATCATACAACTCTTAACCAAATTTGTATTTACACTGGTATACACCAGTTTAACAACTTCTCTGTTATACAAAAAGTAATATGAACTGTTATACAACTGTTATACAAACTGTTATAAAAACTGTTATAAAAACTGTTATACAACTTTTATACAAACTGTTACACGAACTGTTATGCAAACTGTTATACAACTGTTATACAAACTGTTATACAAAACTGTTGTAAAAACTGTTATACAAACTGTTATGCAAACTGTTATACAAAACTGTTGTAAAAACTGTTATACAAAACTGTTATACAAACAATTATAAAAACTGTTATACAAACTGTTATACAAATTGTTATACAAACTGTCATGCAAACTGTTGTACAAACTGTTACACAAATTGTCATACAAAACTGTTATAAAAACTGTTATACAAACTGTCATGCAAACTGTTATACAAACTGTTATACAAACTGTTATACAAACTGTTACACAAACTGTTATACGACTGTTATACGACTGTTATATAAACGGTTATAACCGTTACACAAACTGTTATACAACTGTTATACAAACAGTTGTAAAAACTCTTATTCAAACTGTTATACAAAAGGTTATAACTGTTACATAAACTGTTATACAAACTGTTATACAAACTATTGTGCAACTCTGAACCAATTTTTTTTATACAATTATTTTAGAAAAGTGTTATACAGCTGGGAAAATTTTTATTATACATCTGCCATACAAACAGTTATATAACAGTTATTCAACTTTTTATAGAAATTGTTATACAACAGCTAGATATATAACATATGGGCTACACAAAAAAAAAAAAACAAAAACTGTTATATAAATTCTTAGTTGTTATAAAACTGTTATATTTCTGAGACACACTCTGTCAACCAAATGTTATGCATACTCTGATTCAATAGCTCTACAAACTACACCGTATAACATAATGCTATTAAGACTGTTATAAAAAGTATCATGGAAATTAAAAAAATCATATAAAAACTGTTATACAACAATTTAACAACTGTTATACAAACGGAATTATTACTGCTATATAAACTGTTATACATTCTTTAAATAAACTCTTATTTAACAGCTGCTTATGGCCTACAACAAAATGTAAAATAAGGTCAACTTTTATACAAACATTTTTGTAACTATCATAAAACTGTTATACTGCTAATTATACTAAAACAACTGTTATAAAAAATGCTATATAAACTGTAATAACAAAACTCTATATAAACTGTTATATCAACTGTTATTCAAACTGTTATACAAACTGTTATACCAACTGTCATACATACTGTTATACAATCTGTTTTATAAACTGTTATACAAACTGTCACACAAACTGTCATACAAACTGTCATAAAAACTGTTATACAAACTATCATAAAAACTGTTATACAAACTGTTATAAAAACTGTTATACAAACTGTTATACAAACTGTTGTACAAACTGTTATACAAACTGTTACACAAACTGTCATACAAACTGTTATACAAACCGTTATACGCACTTTTATACAAACACATTTCTAAGCAAACTGAGAGAAAATCTGTTCATCATTGGTTTGCTATAGAACACGTTGTTATGGATAACAACGATTTGCTATAGAAGAGTTTCCGCATAAAAAAAATTGTTATCGACCTGGCTTTTTTAAAAACATTCTCTATTTTTTTTTATCGGTACCTAAAAGTTTTCAAACAATTCAATTTGGCTAATTTGTTTTCCACCCAAAATCCCCGGCAGCCATTCGCCTCCCAACGGGAGTTAATTTTTGATTGAATTTATTATCGACTTGTTAAGCTTCGAAAACAATATTGTCAATGTATTTGTTGTTTTTGTTATTTTTGAACTTACATGATTGATCCGATTCTAAGCGTATGTGACCACCACCAGCTCCGCCACCCACACCGAAACTGCTGGCCTTATCCAACTGGATGCCAGTACCACGGACATGTTGATTTTTTGCTCCTGGACCGGCAAAAGTTGTTAATGTTTTGTTGCCTCGATTGCTAAACTGGTTGTAGTTGTTGTTGTTGTCATCGTAGTTGTTGTTGTTGTGGTGATGACCATGCTGATGCTGCTCCGTTTGGTGTTGTCGCTGTTGTTTCTGGTGCTGGTGTGTGGAGTGATGTACTTGATGGGTCGTCGTCGTCGTCGTTTGACCACCAAGACCCCCTGCCCCTGCATAGTTTCGGGCATTCTCGTGGTAGGGCGAGGATGCTTTGTAAACAACATCCGTTAAATTACCCGCCGGACAATCAACCAAATCGAATTGTGACAATTTCATATCCTCGGCTATGGCCACAGCGGGGCGTTCTTTGTTCCAGCGATAGATGACATCGGCCGTGGTGTAGCCAACTGCATTAAGGTGGGGTGTGGTGTTATTTGTGTTGGCGGGGTTGGAGATGTTATTCAAATGCAAATCGAGGAAGTTGTACAAACAGCGACCGGCAAAAATGATAAACAAAAATTTGAAAGAGATTAGAGGACAAAAAAGAGGAACATTAAATAATACAAAGAGCGGAGAAGAAAAGCCAACAACAATGGCGCAGCTGAGCTGTAGTATAACACAATTATGTGAAAATTTGAATGGCTAAATTTTAGGTGGGGGAAGGACAAATTTTTTTGGAATCTTCCTGTTTACGGAAAACTGTTATACAACATTTTTCCTATACGGAAAACTGTTATACAACATTTTTCCTATACGGAAAAGTGTTATACAACATTTTTCCTATACGGAAAACTGTTATACAACATTTTTCTTACACGGAAAACTGTTATACAACATTTTTCCTACACGGGAAAGTGTTAAACAAAAATTTTCCTTTACGAAAAAGTGTTATACAACATTTTCCTATACGGAAAACTGTTATACAACATTTTTCCTATACGGAAAACTGTTATACAACATTTTTCCTGCACGGAAAAGTGTTATACAACATTTTTCCTATGCGGAAAACCGTTATACATCATTTCTCCTATACGGAAAACTGTTATACAAGATTTTTCCTGTACGGAAAAGTGTTATACAACATTTTTCCTATACGAAAAAGTGTTATACAACATTTTTCCTATACGGAAAACTGTTATACAACATTTTTCCTATACGGAAAACTGTTATACAACATTTTTTCTATACGGAAAACTGTTATACAACATTTTTTCTATACGGAAAACTGTTATACAACATTTTTCCTATGCGGAAATCTGTTATACAACATTTTTCCTATATGGAAAACTGTTATACAAGATTTTTCCTATGCGGAAAAGTGTTATACAACATTTTTCCTATGCGGAAAAGTGTTATACAACATTTTTCCTATATGGAAAACTGTTATACAAAATTTTTTCTATACGGAAAACTGTTATGCTGCATTTTTCCTATACGGAAACTGTTAAACAACATTTTTCCTGTACGGAAAACTGTTATACAATATTTTTTCTATACGGAAAACTGTTATACAACATTTTTCCTATTCGGAAAACTGTTATACAACATTTTTCCTATTCGGAAAACTGTTATACAACATTTTTCCTATACGGAAACTGTTATACAACATTATTTTTATACGGAAAACTGTTATACAACATTTTTCCTATAGGGAAAACTGTTATACAACATTTTTCCTATTCGGAAAACTGTTATACAACATTTTTCCTATATGGAAAACTGTTATACAACATTTTTCCTATACGGAGAACTGTTATACCACACTTTTTTCATATGGAAAAGTGTTATACAATATTTTTCCCATGCGGAAAACTGTTATACAACATTTTTTCTATGCGGAAAACTGTTATACAACATTTTTCCTATACGGAAAACTGTTATACAACATTTTTCCTATACGGAAAACTGTTATACAACATTTTTCCTATACGGAAAACTGTTATACAACAATTTTCCTGTACGGAAAAGTTTTAATAGGCTCTTCTTAAAAATGATTGCTCTTTAAATCTGTTCTCACAAGATATGTTTACTGAAAATCTTTAGCATACTTTAAGGCTTTGCCCGAAAGTAATTACAAAAGTTTTCACCCCCAAACATTGGCAATGCCATAAATGTTGGGATATTCAACAACTTAATGCAATAACCTTTGCCTAGTTTTAGGCTGTAGTTAAAATGAATATTTTAGGGGTGTGTGTTCAACGTGATGCAATGTCTACAAGAATCAAGGCCCTTGGTTTATATTGCATGTCCTTAAAGGGGATAACAAGGCACAAGGCATAGGCAAATAATTCCAAACACATACGAGTGATTTTGTGTTTTGTGGTTTAGCATAAATTTATTAACAAACCGAAAATAGGAAAATAAAACACGAAACGATAAAAGGACAGCAAAAAATGTACCCCTCCATGCGAATCAATGAATTCTTGGGAAGTGAAAAAATCAAGAAACAACGGCAAGACCACATCATCTCTCAACACATCATCAAAATCTTAACATCGATAACCAGACCATTCAGGCGAAAGAGAAAATCAAAAAAAGAGAAGAGAGAAGGAGAAGAAAGTGCTTGAAATATCCATCGAGGTAAAAATGCACACACACACACCCACACATCGGAATTCATAATCTCATTGATTAGAGACAACTATTATTAAAGACTTAATGGCACATTGATTCCATCTTGGCTGCCATGAAAGCAGGCTCACGCCATAAAATCATCGAGGGACAGTGAATGGCGATGGTGGTGCTGGATGGCTGGCCGACTGGCTGACTGGTGGCGTTTAAATTCGTGACGTTGCTGGGCCATTACCAGCCAGTTGATGAGCCATTTCGCCAAACAGTTAACAGAACTATTGAATAATAAGTAGCCGATGTTAATAGGCCAAGGGAATGGATGGACCATCAGAAAAAATGGCCTTAAAAGTAAAAATCTCAAGAAAATAAATAAAAATCGATGCATGCCTAGAAATTATTGGCAAGGGGGAAAGGCTGATATAATTTAATTAGAATTTTTGACAAAAATATGGAGAATTCTTGAAGAAGAGGCATTCTTCGCCTCGAAGAAGAGTTTTCCTTCTTCCCATAGAAGAAGAGGAGGTCTTCTTCTTCGTCGAGAATAAGAGGTCTTCTTTGCCTGGAAGAAGAGATCTTCTTCGCCTGGAAGAAGAAGTTTTCTTCGCCTGGAAGAAGAGGTCTTCTTCTTCGTCCAGAAGAAGAAGAGGTCTTCTTCGTCTTCGTGTAGAAGAAGAAGAAGAGGTATTCTTTGTCAAGAAAAAGAGGAAGAATAAGAGGTCTTCTCTTCGTCTAGAAAAAGAAGAGATCTTCTTCTTCGTCCAGAAGAAGAAGAGGTCTTCTTCTTCGTCCAGAAGAAGAAGAGGGCTTCTTCTTCGTCCAAAAGAAGAAGAGGTCTTCTTTGTCGAGAAAAAGAGGAAAAATAAGAGGTCTTCTTCTTCGTCTAGAAAAAGAAGAGGTCTTCTTCTTCGTCTAGAAGAGGAAGAGGTCTTCTTCTTCGTCTAGAAGAGGAAGAGGTCTTCTTCTTCGTCTAGAAGAGGAAGAGATCTTCTTCTTCGTCTAGAAGAGGAAGAGGTCTTCTTCTTCGTCTAGAAGAGGAAGAGATCTTCTTTTTCGTCTGGAAAAAGAAGAGGAGGTTTTCTTCTTCGTCTGGAAGAAGAAGAAGAGGTCTTCTTCTTCGTCTGGAAGAAGAAGAATAGATCTTCTTCTTCGTCTAGAAGAAGAAGAGGAGTTCTCCTTCTTCGTCTAGAAGAGGAGGTCTTCTTCTTCCTCTAGAAGAATAAGAAGAGGTCTTCTTCTTCGCCTGGAAGAAGAAGAGGAGGTCTTCTTCTTCGTCTGGAAGAAGAAGAGGAGGTCTCCTTCTTCGTCCAGAAGAAGTAGAGGTCTTCTTCTTCGTCTAGAAGAAGAGGAGGTCTTCTTCTTCGTCTAGAAGAAGTAGAGGTCTTCTTCTTCGTATAGAAGAAGAGGAGATCTTCTTCTTCGTCTGGAAGAAGAAGAGGAGGTCTTCTTCTTCGCCTAGAAGAAGAAGAGGAGGTCTTCTTCTTCGTCTGGAAGAAGAAGAGGAGGTCTTCTTCTTCGTCTGGAAGAAGAAGAGGTCTTCTTCTTCGCCTAGAAGAAGAAGAGGAGGTCTTCTTCTTCGCCTAGAAGAAGAAGAGGAGGTCTTCTTCTTCGCCTAGAAGAAGAAGAGGAGGTCTTCTGCTTCGCCTAGAAGAAGAAGAGGAGGTCTTCTGCTTCGCCTAGAAGAAGAAGAGGAGGTCTTCTTCTTCGCCTAGAAGAAGAGGAGGTCTTCTTCTTCGCCTAGAAGAAGAAGAGGAGGTCTTCTTCTTCGCCTAGAAGAAGAAGAGGAGGTCTTCTTCTTCGCCTAGAAGAAGAAGAAGAGGAGGTCTTCTTCTTCGCCTAGAAGAAGAAGAAGAGGAGGTCTTCTTCTTCGCCTAGAAGAAGAGGAGGTCTTCTTCTTCTTCGCCTGGAAGAAGAGGAGGTCTTCTTCTTCTTCGCCTGGAAGAAGAGGAGGTCTTCTTCTTCGCCTGGAAGAAGAAGAGGAGGTCTTCTTCTTCGTCTGGAAGAAGAGGAGGTCTTCTTCTTCGTCTGGAAGAAGAGGAGGAGGTCTTCTTCTTCGTCTGGAAGAAGGAGAGAAGGTCTTCTTCTTCGTCTGGAAGAAGGAGAGGAGGTCTTCTTCTTCGTTTGGAAGGAGAACAGGTCTTCTTCTCCGCTATTTGGACAATTTTGTCTCTCAAAAAAAGCATTCCTGTAAAGTCCCAATAAAATTGTCACAAATTATAATTGACTCTATCGGTTTTATGACCCCACCCAGGAAAACACATAAATGTCTCTCTTGACATATTGACCAAAAAAAAGTTAACATTTCCATGTTTAACAACAACAATCAAGACGTCAAATACCAGGACATATATTTTTTTTTTGTATAGGCAATGGCACTGACAGATAGAGATAGGGAGGTTTGTTTGGCGCGAAGTCAACATGACAAACTCACAATGCCAATGAAGACTTTTAGGTCAGGGACGTAGTCGCAAATGGATTGGGATACTATTTCCAGGGTAAGGCGGGAGGTCAAGTTAGGAAATGGGATTTAGGTGAATTAAAACGGGGGAAAAATAAAAATATATTATTAAGGGGGTAGGGGAGCCCCCCTTGGCTACGCCTGTACTTTTGTGTACATACATGCACGCATATGTATGTATATCCCTTTATGTGTCCGTAGTCGCCATAAATTGTTGTTCAAGGAAATTGCCAATAATATTGTACGTAATAAAGCACTTGCATGAATGATCATGCCAATGAATGTCGAAATATTTCATACAAAAGATAGCTTAGACCTTGAGGGGGGTGGAGGAAATAATATTCCCCCCTTCCTTGCCTTTTTAAATTGTATGAAAAATAT